CTGAATAAAATCAGCTGAACAGCGAAAACAAATCTGGATAAATTCAGTTTAAATCTTCATATGTTAAACTAAATAGCTCAAAATTAAATGTCAGTCAAGCAACTGAATTTAGGAAGTTTACAAAGAAAGCTGTGTAAAATAATTCGAGTTTCCTTTGCTCAGGATCCCTCAAAATGTCAAAACTAAAAACTACGAACGGTTGGTATTTGAACAGACGAAAGGTCTAGTTATTCAGTGACTAAGCTGTATATCTATTTCTAGAAAATTCAATTTTGGAGGTACATATAATATGCGTACAGAAATTTCCTAAGGCACACTGTTCCAGTAATTATATACATGAGTAAACAATCGCGGTTACAATGTTTGCACAGAGAATAAAGATTCCTGTTTGCACAGACTAGAACAAAAACTTATTCAAAACAGTTGAAATCCTATTTTATAATTTTGTAGTCCACGTGCCATGAAATAAATTGAAAACCCAATGAAATCTACATTTTCCCCCTAACAGAAAACTTCAGTTTTCGACGAATATTCGTTTCTCGAATGTGATTATCAAGATCGCTAAGATCGTTCAGATTGCTGGACCCTTTTCAGCACTAAATCAGGAAAGAAATTCAAGCTTAAGTCAAAGACATTTCTGATAAGCCGTGTTGTAGTCTGAAGAGTGTTGAACATTTGTCATTGGGTGAACATTTGTCATCGACTTCCGTCAGGGTGAAACGACCACAATTCGGACAAAGGAAACTTGTTTCTTGTCACTGTTCTTGTCCAATCAACAGATTCACTGAAGTCAACCTCGCTAATAGAACGCGGACAGGTGACAACAAGTAAATTTCCCAGCGCTACAGATAAATTGTTAACGTCAATTTCAGACTATGTTTGCATCAAACGCATACATGCCAACCCTCCCGGATTATCCGGGAGTCTCCCGGATACGACACCAATCTCCCAGTCTCCCGTACGGGTCGCTTTATCTCCCTGATAAAATCATCTTTTGAGCTTTTCTGTGCCTTAGTTTGAAATTTAGCCCATTTTTAGTTCAAAACTTGAATTTTTCTTGTTCGTAATACTGTTTCTAAGGCATTTTACACCTATTTAGTCACTGACAAAGATTATTTCTGGCATCAAAACGATGATCGCGAATTTTGATGGTATCCACCTCATGTAAGACTTGATATAATGTCCTAAATTTCCGGGGGTAGTGGGCTAATAGAAAACAGAGAGTCTCCAGATTTTAAATCTCCAGAGGTTGGCATCTCTGCAAACGAGTTATGAAGAGAACGGTTTTTGATTAAGTAATGCCATATAAATGAGCGACTTTTGAGTGTTTCCGTGGACACAGTCCTTCACGGCTTTAAATACCGTGACCGGGTATTCTGAAGAAGCTCCTAGCATTTTATGAGTATATCACAGCTATGCATATCAGTACCTCTTAGCACTAGTTGCACTGATTTCACGGTGAATTCAAAATTTTCGGCGAACCGCGGGTCCTTTCTCCAGTGCTTTTCATGATTGAATCATTGAACAAAGCGTTTCTGTGCCGACTCTTCAAACAGGATGCAAGTGATTATGTATCGGTCAAATCGAAGCTTCAACATGCCCCCCCCCCCCGGGCAACCCCCCGTGCATTTGACTTTTTTGAAAATTATTGTTCAAATTCTCCCCTACCCGGGCCAAAATGCCGTTCAAATGCCCCACACTATGGTCCATTCAGGTGATCAATGCCCCCACCCCGGGGACGTTTCACAGGCACAAAACTGGCAGAGGGACGGCGGAAACGCCTTCAGTTGTCGAACAAAATCTTTATAAATATAACAAAAACTGAGAAACACTGTTAGCGTATTTACTACGAACAAAAGTCTGGTGCAAAGCGGCGGAAATCGCTGCTACAAGGTCACTGAATGCTCAAAGCGTTCTATAAAAAAAGACCCCATCTATTGAGATTACATCATGACTATTTCACTGATATGCATCATCGCTCACCTTATTAACTAACATACTTGCAGTAGGTCAAAGTAGTTGACCTGAGCTTTTTATTTTATTTTATTTTATTTTATGTTGTTGTATTGAATCGCCGGTATAGGTATTGTCTTTCATTGTATAAAACACAACAATAAAATACATTCATACATTCAAAGCCTGAATCCAGTATTAAAAATTTTAAAATTTAAATACTTCAAATACAGCACAAAGCTTGTTTAAGCCCTTTCCTCGTAACCAATTGGCCACAAAGGCACGATCTTTTCCACGAAAATCGTCTAACACCGCGTCCCCCATGATAGCTCGCCACGCCAAAGATTTTACATGAAATCGAGGGTTCAGTTCAAATTCCCCACCCCTAAAGTATGGGGATCAAATTCCCCACCNGGGGGGGGGGGGGGGCGCATGTTGAAGCTTCGATTTGACCGATACATTACGAACAAAATACACCAGAATACACTTATCAAAGGAATGAGACTGTTTTTTCCCTGAGAATAGGACACACTTTCTTTTTCAAGAGATTCCGGAAGAGATTCAAAGTAAAATCGTACATATCTACAGCGTAATTAACGAATATTCACTCCGCAGTCGAGATATTCACTCCACGCCATCTTGACACAAATGATCAGATTTTGAATACCGCCCATGATACTTAGCGATCGTAGTGCGCACACCACCTGGTGAAAGTTAGAGACGTTTAATGTTACGATGGTAATGATCTGTGTTATTTCTTTAGTATTTTGTTTCAAAAAGGGGTATTTTGACCTACATAACATGAACCGTTTTTAAACACGGACACCCCAATAATACAAACACTTTCCATGCCCCACCCCCTCCCTCCTCAGTGAAATTACTAGTATCCAGTCACTTCGTTCCATGATCGTTCCAAGCCAAATAGTCAGATCGTTCCAAGCCAAATAGTCAGATCGTTCCATAATACATTCAGAACTTACAGAAACAAGGGCATTACTCATGTGCATATGCCGAGTTTGACTGTACAGATCAGAGTGAATTCAGATCAGTTCCTTATCCGGATCATTCCAAAGGAACGCAACAAGCCTTAAGTCTCCCTTTTCGATGACCTTAACGCTTCACAGAAAACAGTAAAAAACAACAACAACAACCAAACAGACAAAAGGCAAAGGGAAACCGCACTTTAAGAATATAAAATTTGCAGACGTTACGGCGGTGCATGAGCCAGTGCTCAAGGGGGGGGGGGGGCTTGAAATATTGCATGGGACCTCCAGATTTCAAGTGCAGTACTCTGAATCTCTCCATCCACGCAGGCAACACCCTTTTTACTGAAAATGTCAGTAGCCTGTACAAACAGGGGACGATCAGGCAGGTTTGGCGGCTCCCAAAACCCGCGTTCATTAACGCCTGTTTTGAGCAGTACACCTTTTCTGCACTTCGGGTCCACGTAGGCGAAATGGCGGTCCTGATTTTCAGTAATGCTAATAATATCATCTCTCTAGCCTGAGAAGCCGGCGGGATCGTTAGCGCGACCAAAGATTTGTCAGAGGAGCTGCCAAGCTGTACGGAGAATGGGGATGAGACGCTTTCCACGGCAGCTTCGCCTCATCTTTCTGTAACCTAGCCTGTTCCAGGCCCTCAAATAGTGAGGAAGACGCGAAAGTAAAAGGCACTCGAAAAGTTGGCAGGGCGAAAAAGAGGAAAAGGAAGGCAGAAGGGAAGTTTCCTTCCGTTTTGTTTTCGTCTTCGCGCTTTCTCAATTTTAGCGGGCCCGACTATCTCGGAGCCTGGCTGTTTTGCAGTCCGTCTAAAAGAAAGCTTACATATCGATCAACGCTATTGATTTTCAACTTTAGGCATGAGGTTTATTACATGGTTCGTAGTAACCGTACAACTTCAGATAAATACATTTCATGCAAGGACTTTTCAAGGATTTTTCAAGCAAAAATTACACTTTTCAAGGACTAAGATTTATTGAATAAATCAGCATTCTTTAACCCCCTTTGATCACCCTATTGGCTTGGAGTCATTTACGAATTTTACTTCTTCGGCCATCGTTGATCACATTATTTTATACTACTTTCTGCAACAAGACTTTTCAGAATGACTGGGTATGACTGTAAATCCAGTGATTTTCCTTGGTAGAAGGTGGGGCACTAACTCAAACATTTAAAGTATGTATATATGTTGTAGTTAATTTTTTATCTCGGGTAATTTTTATTTTTCCTTTGTTTCAACTTCATTAGCATACATTACCATACCCAAAAAACAAAACAAAAACAAAAATTACATGAGATAAAAAATTAACTACAACATATATATATTAGCTTACACTCAGTATTAGACAATACACAAGAAGTTTACCTCTGCTTAGCAACTACAGTTGACTCCCGATAACTCGAAATCAAATTAATCGGGAGTCAACTGTACTTTAATTTACATAGAGAATGACCTTCAGATATATCCCTAAGGGAAGTTGTTTTGTAATTTACAAATAACATGAGACTAAGTCATTGTTGACAGTGAGATGTCACCTTCAATGATTTTGACAATTTCCTTCCTTCTTGCCTTCAATGATTAGCATTTTCCTTTCCTTTTGCCTCTTCTGGTGGTTTTTTGCAGTCTTGACTTCAAAATTTCAGAAGTCAAGAAGCTGAAAAAAAAGTTCACAAAAACATAAGAAAACAACATTAAATTACACTAACTTTAAACCACACTTAGTGCTTTTAAAACAAGGTTAAACCCAAAGACTAGCCATTGTTAATGGAAACGTATCTGCCCATGGATTTATTCAAGTCATAATTCCAAATTATTTTCTTGCTGCTATTAGATTTTGTCAGTAGAATGATTTAAAAATTATCTATTTCTTGGCATGTATACATAGCCTGATATAAACACTTGAGGGGTTGGGAGAATACTCGGCAGTTATGCATACCCGAGACAAAGAAATGTTTTCTATTGCTTAAATAGTTCTCATATACAGTGTCATGACCGAAGTGAAGACCCAGCCTCATTCCCAGGCCTGTTCACGCTATCAAAGTCAACAGAAGGGGGCTTGGAACCAAGGGTGATAGCACGCTTGGTTCCAAGCCCCCTTGTGCTCACCAACATGAAGCTTGACAGCTGATGTCACATTCAAAATCGCTGAGGATGACTGGGAACGAGGCTGGTGAAGCCCATATACTACAACAACAAAATTCATTTCAGTACATAATAAATTTGCATGCAAAAGTTTCAAGGGATGCATACATTGAAACATTACTGGGAAAAATTTATTACTGTCTGATGAGGGCATTTACGAGATAAGATGAAATTTAATGAGGAAGACTGACTTCGATGCACTTACCAGTTGTGGTAGGATTTTTTCCAGATGGTCAGTTTCTACAGTTGGTGAGGATTCAACCTAGAAAAAGAGCAAGAGTTCAAGTTATTATAATCACTTTTCTTGTATGACCATTATTCAGATAGATTATATAAAAAGAGTTGTGTCCAGGATACAAACATTTTTATTTATTAATAGCCATGATGGTTGTTGCCAGATGGGAAAAAGATTCCAAAAAAGAGGCTGAGATTTTTTTTGTGAACCAAAATTGATTAAATGCTGTCCAAGCAACAGAATATTTTGTTGTCATTAGGAACCTAAGATAAAAACAGGCACCTAGAATAGTTCTTGCTATTGCTTTAATAGGCATTTTCTGACTCTCCATAAGGCAGGTGGCTCTCTATGATGGACACTTATGTCAGAAAGAGAATTTGTGTAACTATGTGTGGGTGAGGGAGTTGACTTATTTTTCACTTTTTTTTTCTGTTGAAAAGAAATACAGTATATCTCGGGGACTCGAACTCTATAAGAAAACAAAAAACAGTTCAACTTAGAGGGAAATTTGAGTTGTTGGGGTAAATTTCAGCGTAATTTTGATCAAGGGAAGGGAAGTTTTGTTCGAGTTAGCAGGGAATTCAGGATTATCTGAGTTCAAGTTATCAAGGTTCTTCTGTAACAAACTTGTACAAAATTCAAAGAGGTTGGTCATCTTCAAACTATTATACCTTAGCTTGCTGTACTGCTCTCGCTGCACCCTCTTTCAAGAAAGAAAGAAAGAAAGAAGGAAATCAAAAAGTTTCTCACAGGAGGTTTCCCAGTGCTGTGGCAAAACAATCTCAAGCTATCAACTGAGGTGAAAAATCTAGAAGAAATAGCTGGCAATGTATATCATAACATAAAAGGCTAATGAATCTCATGAATCTGCTATTGTATCTCAGAATAAAAGCAGCGTCCTGACTTGTAATGAGAAATAACTTTCTTGCTTACTAAAGATTTTCTTAGAAAGGTAATCTGGAAGGATAACATTATTTGTGTTGATTGTAGTTTAATCTGATTGTGGTCCAATTTGCAAAGTTAAACACATGACTGGATGCCATGTCCTTAAGTAAATTATAAATTAATAATTTTTGAGGCCCTGCAGAGAACCTTTTGCACCCGCAACAAGTGCCCCACTTAGTCTCAAGTAATTTAGTCTCTGTGGGCAGACATAGATTAATAAGAATGAGTTGCAACAATAATATTAATGATACCTGCAATAAAAATCCTAAGAAGTTCTGTCATCAGTTTTAAAGCATCACCATTGCCTATATGAAAAAGGAAACTAATGCAGTTGATTTGACAAGAGGTCAAAATAAGGCTGTGGCCTTAAGTAGGCCAAAACCATGCAGTAAAATTGGTCAGATGTTGGAAAATTTTCTTGGCGTTGAATTCTAAAGGACTGTATCAAAGTTCAGGAAATGAATAATAACGCTGTTGTCTTGTGTTCCCGTCCTTGAAAAAACGTGAAAAAAAGGCACTCTCACGTTGTAGTTATGCAACGACAGCTAAGAAATGTACAAAAAAGCATAATACATGTGCAAAGTTGTTGTTTTGCCAATCTAAACCCATTGCTTTCTTGCCGTACCCTTTGCCGTCGCTGTCATCATTGCTTAAGCACCCTATTGGCCCCTATAAGTAAAGCTAGAGATTGTAGGTACAGTAAAACCCCTTTTAATACGGACACTGAGGGGGCCATAGAAAGTGTTCTTCTCAACAGGGTGTCCGTAAAGTGGGGTTTGATCCCGGGGGTGGGGTGGGGGGGGGGGGGTGGGGGGGGGGGGGGTTGAAATATTGCATGGGACCTCCAGATTTCAAGTGCAGCACTCTGAATCTCTCGATCGACGCAGGCAACACCCATTTTACTGAAAATGTCAGTAGCCTGTACAACAGGGGACGATCAGGCAGGTTTGGCGGCTCCCAAAACCCGCCTTCATTAACGCCTGTTTTGAGCAGTACACCTTTTCTGCACTTCGGGTCCATGTAGGCGAAATGGCGGTCCTGATTTTCAGTAATGCTAATAATATCATCTCTCTAGCCTGCGAAGCCGGCGGGATCGTTAGCGCGAGCAAAGTTTTGTCAGAGGAGCTGCCAAGCTACGGAGAATGGGGATGAGACGCTTTCCGCGGCGGCTTCGCCTCATCTTTCTATAACCTGGCCTGTTCCAGGCCCTCAGATAGTGGTGAAGACGCGAAAGTAAAAGGCACTCGAAAAGTTGGCAGGGCGAAAAAGAGGAAAAGGAAGGCAGAAGGGAAGTTTCCTTCCGTTTTATTGTCGTCTTCGCTCTTTCTCAATTTTAGCGGGCCCGACTATCTCGGAGCCTGGCTGTTTTGCAGTCCGTCCAAAAGATTTTCAACTTTAGGCATGAGGTTTATTACATGGTTCGCAGTAACCGTACAACTTCAGATAAACAAATTTCATTGAAGGACATTTCAAGGATTTTTGAAGGAAAAAGTACACTTTTCAAGGACTAAGATTTATTAAATAAATCAGCATTCTTTAACCCCCTTTGATCACCCTATTGGCTAAAACAGGTCATGGAGTCATTTACGAATTTTACTTCTTCGGCCGTCGTTGATCACATTATTTTATACTACTTTCTGCAACAAGACTTTTCAAAATGACTGGGTATGACTTGCAATTATTGCATTCTACTTCTATACTGTAAATCCAGTGATTTTCCTTGGTAGAGGGTGGGGCACTAACTCAAACATTTAAAGTATGTATATATGTTGTAGTTAATTTTTTATCTCGGGTAATTTTTATTTTTCCTTTGTTTCAACTTCATTAGCATACATTACCATACACAAAAAACAAAACAAAAACAAAAATTACCCGAGATAAAAAATTTACTACAACATATATATTAGCTTACTCTCAGTATTAACAATTCACAAGAAGTTTACCTCTGCTTAGCAACTACAGTTGACTTCCGATAACTCATAAATTTACATAGAGACTGACCTTCAGATATATCCCTTAGGGAAGTTGTTTTGTAATTTACAAATAACATGAGACTAAGTCATTGTTGACAGTGAGATGTCACCTTCAATGATTTTGACAATTTCCTTCCTTTTTGCCTTCTATGATTAGTATTTTCCTTTCTTTTTGCCTCTTCTAGTGGTTTTATGCAGTCTTGACTTCAAAATTTCAAAAGTCAAGAAGCTGGAAAAAAAAGTTCACAAAAACATAAGAAAACAACATTAAATTACACTAACTTTAAACCACACTTAGTGCTTTAAAAACAAGGTTAAACCCAAAGACTAGCCACTGTTAATGGAAACGTATCTGCCCATAAATTTATTCAAGTCATACTTCCAAATTATTTACTTGCTGCTATTAGATTTTGTCAGTACAACGATTTATTAATTATCTATTTCTTGGCATGTTTGCATAGCCTGACGTAAACACTTGAGGGGTTGGGAGAATACTCGGCAATTATGCATACCCGAGACAAAGAAACGTTTTCTATTGCTTAAATAGTTCTCATACACAGTTCCTCTGTCATGACTGAAGTGAAGACCCAGCCTCATTCCCAGGCCTGTTCGTGCTATCCAAGTCAGCAGAAGGGGAATTGGAACCAAGCATGATAGCAACCTTGGTTCCAAGCCCCCTTGTGCTCACCAACATGAAGCTTGACAGGTGATGTCACACTCAAAATCGCTGAGGATGACTGGGAACGAGGCTGGTGAAACTCACGTACTACAACAACAAAATTCATTTCAGTACGTAATAAATTTGCAGGCAAAAGTTTCAAAGGATGCATACATTGAAACATTACTAGGAAAAATTAATTACTGTCTGATGAGGCCATTTATGAGATAAGATGAAATTTATGAGGAAGACTGACTTCGATGCACTTACCAGTTGTGGTAGGATTTTTTCCAAATGGTCAGTTTCTACAGTTGGTGAGGATTCAACCTAGAAAAAGAGCAAGAGTTCAAGTTATTATCATCCCTTTTCCTGTATGACCATTCTTCAGAAAGATTATAGTTATATAAAAAGAGTTGTGTCCAGGATACAAACATTTTAATCTATAAATAGCCCTGATGGTTGTTGCCAGATGGGAAAAAGATTCTAAAAAAAAGGCTCGGATTTTTTTCTGAACCAAAATTGATTAGAGTAAGTCTTCCTTAAAAAAAAAAAAATGCTGTCCAAGCAATAAAAAATTTTGTTGTCATTAGCAACCTAAGATAAAAACAGGCACCTAGAATAGTTCTTGTTATTGCTTTAATAGGCATTTTCTGACTCTCCATAAGGCAGATGGCTCTCTATGATGGACACTTCATGTCAATTCTAGTGGAAACCATGTCAGAAAGAGAATTTGTGTAACTATTGTGTGTGTGAGTGAGTTGACTTGACACAGTAGAACTAGGTAATTTGAACTCTGTAAGGAAACAAAAAACAGTTCAAGTTAGAGGGAAATTTGAGTTCTTGGGGTGAATTTCAGCGTAATTTTGATCAAGGGAAGGGAAATTTTGTTTGAGTTAGCAGGGAATTCAGGGTTATCTGAGTTCAAGTTATCGAGGTTCTTCTGTAATAAACTTGTATAAAATTCAAAGAGGTTGGTCATCTTTAAACTATTATACCTTAGCTTGCTGTGCTGCTCTCGCTGCACCCTCTTTCAAGAAAGAAAGAAAGAAGGAAATTAAAAAGTTTCTCAGTGGAGGTTTCTCAGTGCTGTGGCAAAACAATCTCAAGCTATCAACTGAGGTGAAAAATCTAGAAGAAATACCTGGCAATGTATATCATAACATAAAAAGGCTAATGAGTCTCATGAATCTGCTATTGTATCTCAGAATAAAAGCAACGTCCTGACTTGTAATGAGAAATAACTTTCTTGCTTACTAAAGATTCTCTTAGTTTATTTCCAATTTGTAGTTTAATCTGATTGTGGTCCAATTTGCAAAGTTCAACACATGACTGGATGCCATGTCCTTAGGTAAATTATAAATAATTTTTGAGGCCCTGCAGAGAACCTTTTGCACCCGCAGCAAGTGCCCCATCTAGTCTCAAGTAATTTAGTCTCTGTGGGCAGACATAGATTAATAAGAATGAGTTGCAACAATAATATTTGATACCTGCAATAAAAATCCTAAGAAGTTCTGTCATCAGTTTTAAAGCATCACCATTGCCTATATGAAAAAGGAAACTAATGCAGTTGATTTGACAAGAAGTCAAAATAAGGCTGTGGCCTTAAGTAAGCCAAAACCATGCAGTAAAATTGGTCAGATGTTGGCAAATTTTCTTGGAGTTGAATTCTAAAGGACTGTATCAAAGTTCAGGAAATGAATAATAACGCTGTTGTCTTGTGTTCCCGTCTTTGAAAAAACTTGAAAAAAAGGCACTGTCACATTGTAGTCATGCAACGACAGCTAAGAAATGTACAAAAAAGCATAATGCATGTGCAAAGTTGTTGTTTTGCCAATCTAAACCCATTGCTTTCTTGCCGTACCCTTTGCTGTCGCGGTCATCATTGCTTAAGCACCCTATTGGCTCCTATAAGTAAAGCTAGAGATTGTAGATACAGTAAAACCCCTTTTAATACGGACACTGAGGGGGCCATAGAAAGTGTTCTTCTCAACAGGGTGTCCGTAAAGTGGGGTTTGACCCCGGGGGTGGGGTGGGGGGGGGGGTACTTGGGTTAATGTTTGCTGGGTTTATGCCACTGGCCTCTCAAAGCCCCAACCCTTCATAGTCTATTTTTTGGCCAACTATAGACCCCATCTCAAGTCACTTTTTGGAAAATGTAATTTTCGCGATCCCAACTTAGTCACTTTCTATTTATGCATCTACCTTATCAATGTGGTTTCAAGTGGCAGAATGTAATGCAGTCAAAGCAAGCTTATTGTTAAATTTAATAAACAACAACTTTCTGATTTTTTAACCGAGAATCTTGCTATTTTGAATCCCTACTCACCCCAAAAATCTCTTTAAACACTGGGGTAAGATCATTGAGATAACTTTTACACTGGGATAATATCAGTGAGGTCAACACTTTTACGCTGGGGTAGGTCGCCGTGTAGGGATAATCGGAGAACATTTCCTCATGGGGGGGGGGGGACCTCCGGGGGTTTGACTGTAAAAAATGATATATACTTCTTTAAATTTTATTTCCCTTTGTTTCAAACTCATTATAATAAATCATCATATCCAAAAGAGAAAATAAAATGTATTTAAGCTAAGGATAAAATTGAACAACAACAATAATCAACATGGTCTTATAAATTGGTTCCCTGGTCACATCTGTAGGCATAGTTTATATGGCTGAGTGACCTCAGTCCACTCCAAGCACGCCCATAGATAAAAATTTCAAGTTGAACTTGATGTCTCACTCACATTTTGTTTTTTGCTTGTCATGAAAGAAATTAAGCAATAGCTTGTTAACAGTTTCCTGAAAAAAGAAAATCACATTTATATTATTCACTATAATAATGAGCTTACCCTACACTCTGTTGCGAATCTCTCAATTTAAGAAAAAGTTCTCTTATTTTACGCGAAAAATTTAAAACAAATCATAGGATAAGAACTCTTTTTCTGTAATTTAAACAGGCAGTTTGAGTTTCGAGAAGAAAATCTTATTCTATGATTTGTTTTAATTTTTTTTCCCTGATTCAGACAGTGGTTTAGAATGTTATACCGGCAAACAGAGGCGCCAGAATTGAAACGAGTGATGAAAAGCTTAAAGCAGCGGTTCTACGGTAACAATGACAGCTTTGAATACAAAGAAATAATAACAAAAGAAATTGAACTTACCGATTTAAACGTTGGATTATCCATTACTTTAGATCACTGTAGTTTGCTGAAGCTTTCCTTCATTTTTACCGCCAAGACTTATCCCAGAATTCCTTTGTGCCCTTCATCCGGGAGCTTCGTTCCCAGATTTCTTCCTATTCGTCATCCGGGACTTCAATATCAAGGCGGCCATTGACGGAAAGCGAGCCAAGCACGTTGTTCACTTTCATTTTCCCGAAAAAATAACCCTTTTGTTTCAGTAGCCTTGTTTCTACTCTAAGAATGGGACGGAAAAAGAAGAAGGCTATGAAGCCCTGGTGCTGGTATCCTTTTTAAGTGAAAGAGCTTAATGTAGTGCTGTCTTGGAATGACGGTGAATATTATCTAGCTTAGCTTATTGAATTGATCACGCGCCGGCCGGTCAGCGTTTAAAAATCTTTACCCTAAGCAACTAAATACTTTTTTATGGCTTTCTACTTTCAAGATTATTATCACTTGTGAGTTGGGTAACAATTAGAAAAAACGCCGGTAATGGAACCTTACTTTGAGAGGACAAATAAGTTTAGCTTAAGTTATATAATAATAAGCTTAATTTCTGTCCATCTAAAAATACAGCACTCCAGTTGTTCAAAAGCTATTAGTTACTTCACTGGGTAAATCTCTGTCCAGTGGACAATTATTATGACTAACCAATTGCGTTATCCACTAGATAGAGATTTATTCAGTGGATGGCATTATACACTTTTTTAACAACTGGGGCCTGATTAGTAAAATTTATGTTCAAAATATTATGGGTTTTAAGGGATTTTAACGACCCTTTTTTGCCTGCAATTGCTTTAGTTGTAAACGTAAATGATATTAGATTAACATTTCTTCTTAAATTGTAATTTTACAATCTCTGGTCCCCCGATCTTTTGACTTAATTCTCAACTCTCGGTCAGTAGAGAAACAAGTCTAAAGCATAGTTTCAAGATGTTTGAGTGACAAGTCAAGTAGTCGAGACAAAATATTGCAGAATAGTAGGCAGGAATCACCAGAGTTGCAGGTGCAAAGGCCTAAATTTGTGNTTTTTAACAACTGGGGCCTGATTAGTAAAATTTATGTTCAAAATATTATGGGTTTTAAGGGATTTTAACGACCCTTTTTTGCCTGCAATTGCTTTAGTTGTAAACGTAAATGATATTAGATTAACATTTCTTCTTAAATTGTAATTTTACAATCTCTGGTCCCCCGATCTTTTGACTTAATTCTCAACTCTCGGTCAGTAGAGAAACAAGTCTAAAGCATAGTTTCAAGATGTTTGAGTGACAAGTCAAGTAGTCGAGACAAAATATTGCAGAATAGTAGGCAGGAATCACCAGAGTTGCAGGTGCAAAGGCCTAAATTTGTGTGTGTTGGTTTTTTAAATAAATATACTTAACCAAAATGCTGAGTAGGCAGTAAATATTCCACTGAAAGTGGCAAAATTGCCCGCTTCCAGCTCATTTTGACTACTGGGTTTTCAAGAAAGCTGTGACGCTTGCCAGTTGAGAGGCTAATCAAAATTTTAACCGGACAAATTGATTGCAATGACCACAGGTGTAGATAGTGCCAACCAGTGTACCTTTTTGCTGTGTAACTCCAGCAGCTTACTAACCTACTCATTGCTCCTTGCTGCAATGAATTAGGAGCCAAAACATCTAAGAGTTTGGAATGGTCCACTTTCAGTATGAGGTGAAAGCATACAGATTTTGTCAAAACAGTATGCCTACATTTCTTGTGACTCAAGTGATAATACAGCATTTATGAAACAAGCTTGTCCATAACCACTATGATACATTCTGTGTAACATTTTGCAAAACAAAGCTGGGTGCAAAGAAGGAGGTTTTATGGTTTGTCATTTGGGCAAGTTGTTGCTGGTCTGTACTAGCCCAAGAATCTTTTAAGTGGCCCCCAAATGTTTTTGATGAGCAACATTGATTATAGTTTTTCTGTAATTTGAATTTCCCAAAAAACTTCACTTGCCCTTCAGGCTAGTTAAGAAGAGGATTCACTAGCCCGATTGCAAAATCCACTAGCCCTGAGCTATTGGACACGACTTTCTTTGCACTCTACAAAGCATCTTCTTTTATTAAATTGTTTGTTCCTCACATAGCCTTGAGCAACCAACCTTTATCAGATTAATCCTTAACCATGTTTAAAGGTACTGTAATCGTGACTTTGATGAAGAGAAAATATTAATTCAGCATCAGAAGGCTAAACATTTTAAGTGTCCAATTTGCCACAAGAAGTTGTACACTGGCCCAGGACTGGCCATTCATTGTATGCAAGTACATAAAGAAACCATAAGTACAATTCCTAACTCGCTGCCAAACAGAGGAGACCCAGAAATAGAGATCTATGGAATGGAAGGTATTCCTGAGAAAGACTTGAAAGAGCGCCAGCAAAGGGGCAATAATGCAGGGGACGGTAAGTGAAATGATAAGGTAGAGAAAGTGATCAAAAGACATGCGAAAGTGGGTTGCAACATTGTACGTGCATCTTCATGGTGTAGTGCATTAAAAATATCTCGGTGGTAAAAGTGGGAAGCTAAGAAGAACTAAATACATGAGCTTTGTGAATAGACCCTTCCTTGGGTTTTTTAAACTTTTGACATGGACCATTTAGGGAAAATCCACCACCTTAGATCTAAGAGCACCTTAGAGTTAGTTAAATTGCCAAATTTGAAAGTGATATGTCCTAGGCAAGCAAAGATATATGTCTGCAAAGTTGTGAAAATAACAGATGTTTGTATGGTGGCGGGGCAAGTTTGTGCCACCCACATTACAAACATCTGTAAAATTTCGCAACTTTGAGATGCTATATCTTGGTTAGTTTCCAACAAATCACTTTCAAAATATGACAATTTTATTGTTTTTAAGGCACTCTTTCAATTGCTACTAAAGACTTGGTAAATCAATTTTCCTGAAATGTTTTTCTGCCCCCAATTTTATGATGGCCCTGGCTAATTATGTACTAGCGGTTTGGCTGCACTGTCATTTCCCAGGAATGAGAAGCTGTCCTTTGAATGAAAAAAGAGTTACATTCTGTAAAAAAGATAACTCTGTTTCTCCCATACTGTGTATTATAGATGACGAACCAGACAATAAGAAAGCCAAAAGTGACGACCAAACTCAAGTAGCCTCAGCAGCAGCAGCAGCAGCAGTAGGAATGGTTCCTGCAGCTATTCCTGGTGCTGTTCCTATGATGCCGATGATGCCTGTACCTGGAATGCCAGTCCCTCATGGATTCCCTCAGGTGCCATTTGGTCAGCCAATTCCAGGTGGAGATAATTCGATTGTAATCCTGTTTTAGCTGGTTGTCTATAGCTACACTGTACCTGTTGCTTAAGTGAGCTCTTCACCTTCTAAATTTCGGTCCAAGAAAGGACGTGTAATGCACAAGCCTTCCAAGTTCTTAATCAAAGAGCTCTTAATCGAAGTTGTATCTTGTTATGCGTGTATAATAGTGACGCGGCATACATGCCTCAAGGTGATAACAAGTGCTTTGACTAGCATGAAGTTGTTGGCATGATGTTGACAGGATAGTTGCCATTTAACCAATGGTAATTTGCTTTTTCTGGGAAATGCAAGTTTCAGTGGCTCCCAAAGATGTCCACAGACCATCTATTTTCTCCTTTTCCCACTCCCACCTCTTTGCTCTTTCAGTCAATAAATCCCCACAGTTTTTATTTCCCTATGCATGCTCAACAATATCTGAAGAGAAAACTGACTTCTCTGAACAGGCTAGCCTCTTCTTGGTAAAATGTGCAGTGTACAGAGTGTACAGATCACCAATGTGATTACTATTTGCAAGGTTCAATTTGTAAAAAAGTGCTTCATTCAGGCTCTGTAGGTATTCAGGCTGTCTGTTGTTCCATATACTATGTCTTAACCTGCATCTCTGTTAAATTGGCTTTTATAATGACCTTTTCACAGTTTATGTCTTTTTGATGCATTATTATTGTTGTTAATGTATTTCTTTTTTAAAGGTGCTCCACACATGCCACCTGTTGGATTCCCAGGTCAAATGCCAGTTCCAGGGCATATTCCAGGGATTGGGTAAGTTGGAGTGTAATTTTGGTTTTTAATGGTCAAACCATTCATTTGAATAACATGTTGCCTGAAGTGTTGATTCTTAGAACTGACGATATTTACGATGAGGCTGATAATGTCTATTGTCCTACTTTAGTATGCCATACCCTCAACATGGAATGCCACCAACTTCCATCCCTCCAAGCACAGCCACAATTACCTCTCTTCAAAACAAAGGTCCAGTTATAGGGCCTCAGGTACCCAACACCAAACCCCTCTTCCCAGCAGCACAGGTAAGCAGCTTTGGTTTAGTTTGACTAGGATTGCCCAGTATTTCCCTACTAACAGTAAGTACATTAATTACAGAAATGAATTCATACTATATAAAACTAGAGAAATTTAAAAACTATTCCCATGGTACATGTACACATAATTGAAAACGTCGTGAATTGTGCATTATTTTAGTTCTGACAATTGTCGAAACCCTCTTTCTCCTGGAATAACCTTATGTCCCTTTTTATCTTACAAATTTTCATCCCGAAAATTTACTTACTTACATGAACANATGAGGCTGATAATGTCTATTGTCCTACTTTAGTATGCCATACCCTCAACATGGAATGCCACCAACTTCCATCCCTCCAAGCACAGCCACAATTACCTCTCTTCAACACAAAGGTCCAGTTATAGGGCCTCAGGTACCCAACACCAAACCCCTCTTCCCAGCAGCACAGGTAAGCAGCTTTGGTTTAGTTTGACTAGGATTGCCCAGTATTTCCCTACTAACAGTAAGTACATTAATTACAGAAATGAATTCATACTATATAAAACTAGAGAAATTTAAAAACTATTCCCATGGTACGTGTACACAGTTGAAAACGTCGTGAATTGTGCATTATTTTAGTTCTGTCAATTGTCCAAACCCTCTTTCTCTGGAATAGCCTTATATCCCTTTTTATCTTATAAATTTTCATCCTGAAAATTTACTTACTTACATGAACATGTACCTAAAAAGTAATACTATTGTGTCAGGAAAGATCATTCTCTTTAATTGTTTAAATGTACAAATTTTGCAAAACTGACTTATGCCCTGTTGTTGTTCTGCTGAGGATAAATGAGCAGTAAATGGTGTATAATATTATTAATGGTGCAAAACTGCATTCATTTTCATTTATTTTGCTGAAATTTATGCATACAGTACACAAGCATGACTAAGTTTAAAATGCTTTTAATTTGTTCAGAATGTAAATGGGGCTGCTAAATCCAGTGCTTCCTCAGGCCCTGTGGGTGCTGATTTTAAACCTCTGCAATCAGCTGCACCAACCACTAGCTATCAAAGCCCACCTGTTTCGTCTTCAGGTTTGTGACACCTTGCATTTTTCTTTCCTAATTGCATCATATGTGGTGCATTAAACAGTTGTTTTTGGACCTCAGTCTGGATCAGCTGTTGCACGCTACCAAAACCAAGGTTTATTCAAGAGTGGGGCATTGTGGGATCTCTGCGATTGGGAAAAAAATGCCACAAGAAGTTTATGTACATGCCAAAAATGGAGTGCAGATATGATCTGAAATAAATATCACAATAAATACAATTGGTTATGTGGAAGACTGAAGTGTGATCTCATCTTTCAAGATTGTTTAAAGTTCAGAAATTGAAATGAATGGTGTTAATTTTATACAATTATTTCAGAGTGGGGGCCCAGGAGCGCCTTGTTGGCCATTTTATAGAATAAACCCTGCAAAACCAGTGTGCAAAACAGAGAAGCTGTTGATAAGGTTGAAAGAAATTGTCCATTTTGGAGTTCCATAAGCTCTTTAAAGTAAGGCCAAAAATAAATAAATACAACATTTTTTTCATTTTAGAGACTTCCCATTTACCCTCATGGTGTTTGAGCAATGGCATTACATTATCCTTTAACAACTTTGTCAAGATTATTGATGAGTAGAACACTTTGCAAGGAATAAAACAGTTACTAAAGCATTTACTTTTTCAGTGTTCTGAAATGCTTGAGTATTCCAATTATCAGGACCAGTTGTTAAAAAAATCATCTTCTTTCATTGTAGGTAAACCAATAGTGGTTCCACCTCCCACATCAGCACCTGTGGTGTCTAAGCCTGCTACCATTGTTGCACCAGGAGCAACAAGCCGTTTGATTCATCCTGATGAAGACATTTCATTAGTAAGTACCTGAACTACTTCCCCTTTCAGTTGGATGCACACCACGTGCACATTTAGCATGTGTTTTAATTATTTATGTTGTGCACAGTCATGCTTTAGTTGACGGTTCACCTTCACTATATCATAGATTACATTTATTTTCTGATGTTTCCCATAGCTGTATGTTCAGTAAGTAACTTTGTGGGTGGTTACTCTTAAAATGCTCAGTCTGCAGTTGGTATTGGATCAACTATAGCCATAGGCAGTTGGGGGAATTGCACACATCTTAGGCATTCTACTGATGAATAGTTATGGCATTCAACACCTGATGTGTTGTATCTGCTGGTGCAACAATTGTCTTTAGTCCATCACTTACCTGTCCCCAAACATTGTGCAACCAACTACCTCTACGGTCTCAGATATTTGTCTTAGTTTATATTATCAAAGAAATAATAGTTAATATTTGTTTAATGAAGATGTATGTAATACCAAATGTTACTTTCTTTAACAGGAGGAAAGACGAGCATCTTTGCCTATGTACGCTCCTAAGACGCCCAGTTTGGTTTCATCCAACCCTCCAACCATGGTTAGTGGTCCACCGTTACAGATGCAAGCACCCGGAAACCACCCTCCTCTAGGACCCATGCCTTTAATGTCCAACATGCAACAACATCCAATGCCTATGCTATCAGCACCCACAGGGGGGCCACCGCAAGGAGGACCCATGCCTGGGGGACCAGTTCCTGGTGGTCCAATGCCACCTGGTATGAGACCACCTGGATATCCTGGCCAAATGCCAGGACCACCACCACCACAACATCAACAAGGAATGCCACCTGGAATGCCACCGAGGCCACCCTTGATGGGACCTCCATCTCTCATGGGACCTCTNTAAGACGCCCAGTTTGGTTTCATCCAACCCTCCAACCATGGTTAGTGGTCCACCGTTACAGATGCAAGCACCCGGAAACCACCCTCCTCTAGGACCCATGCCTTTAATGTCCAACATGCAACAACATCCAATGCCTATGCTATCAGCACCCACAGGGGGGCCACCGCAAGGAGGACCCATGCCTGGGGGACCAGTTCCTGGTGGTCCAATGCCACCTGGTATGAGACCACCTGGATATCCTGGCCAAATGCCAGGACCACCACCACCACAACATCAACAAGGAATGCCACCTGGAATGCCACCGAGGCCACCCTTGATGGGACCTCCATCTCTCATGGGACCTCTGCCTCAAGGCCCTGGTGGAGGGCCTCCTCGTGGACCCCCTCCAAGAGGGGCAATGGGACTTCTTGGACCTCACCCAGGCGGTAGGCCACCTATGAGATTACCCATGGGTCCTCCCAGAAGGTTCTAGACAGTTAGAATAAAGTTAATGTCAACAGAAATGCCAGATGATTGTCACTAAGGAGGCAGCGCATACATTTCACAGCCATCTTGAATGTACATTTTGTCACGGTTTACAAAGTTGCAGCTAGGAAGTTTTAATTTACCGAAAATAAGCTTGAGTATAGTTTACTTTGGAAACGTAAGTTTTTGTCCTCCATAGTAACAATCAGTCAATTTTGGAGGTGGTGTAAGGTGAGTCATATCTACATAATTCCTCCATTCATTCTTACTAGCATGCTTTGTGGAAATAATGTATTACTTACTAGCATAACTGCCTATGATGTGAAGACTATTTTCTTTCATCTGGCATTTCAGTCATCTATTTTTTGAATATGGAATGAATTTGTTGCACTCACTTAGTATTATTTAAGATTTCTTAATGATCCTTTTTCTTAAATTTAGTACCAGAATCGTGCTAAAAGATTGAGCATTGTAAGTTCAGCGGTTGACTCAGCTTTCTACTTACTATGAATGGAAATTTCATTTTTGTACATACAAAACCAAAAAGGTAGGTTTAAGCATTAAAAATGCTTTTTGCAATCATGAATAAATATGGCTACATGTAACTAAAATTGCCTTGCCAGCAAGATAACATGTTGTTGTATCATGATGGCTACCATTAAGGCAAAAGCACCCATACTGTTCATGTGGTCACACTGTGGTTTTGTATTCAAGGCAAGGTAAAGGTTACATTTTATCATTCACCTTATTACTGATTTAAATTGATCAATGAACTACTGCACTGTAAGTTAATTTTAAGCTGTATTAAAAGACTTACTGAAAAAATCTTGGGCACTATAGGTTTTGGTGGTTGAAGTTGTGCCGAAAAAGGGAGAAATGCTCTCTCCTTTACAGAGGGTCACACTTAATGTTCATACCTTTCACAAATGCAATCCCTTTGGGCAATAATGCAATGCAATAATGACCCATGAAACCTCTTAAGAGAAGAGAGGAGAAAAACTTTTTGGCAGACATTCTTTGAGTTCCGTGTTTTAGAACAGAAAGATGGTATAGTACAATACTCTAATAATTGATAGTGTATTGTATTATACACACATTATTATTTATTCATGCATACTGAAAAATGCAGCCAAAATAATTTTCCTTAAAGGGAAATAACAAGGTTATCCTCGTACACGACCATTTCCATGATTTAACGATGGAATGGAATTTACACTGGTTTAACAAAATGCAAATAATGTCTGCATAAAAAACTAGAAAAATGGTACTTAAAATTTCTCAGTGTCTGTGTTGAAGAACAAAAAAAGGAGAGAGTAACTAACACTGTCATTTTTTTTAAAACAAAACGCTTCAACTTTTTGGGAGTATTAAGGTAGGTCCGTACAGAGGTTTGTCAATAATTATTCTTTAGTATTGAAATACCAGTACTTTGTATTGATGCCATGATAGCATAGAATTTTACTACTTGAGTTTATGACATGCCCATCTTTTGTAACTGTAGTAAAGCATGTGCAAATAAGTCAGGTTTTTTTCCTCCTCAGTGTTCAAATACATTGTCATCCTTTTGCCTCCCACAAGAAAATTCCAAAGCTTCTTTTAAAGAATGTCTTAAGCATTTGGGCCAAGTTGTTCGAATGGTGGACAACGCTATCCACTGGATAAATCTCTAGCCAGCAGATAGCGCAATAAGTGGTTTCCCTGATACATAACTACTGGATAGTGATTAATGTGGTGATAGCGCTATCCATCGTTTGAACAACTGAGCCCAGGGAAAGAAGCTTTGATGGACAACTTTACATTTTACAGTGACCCTCAAAGACCATGAACACTAAAACCTCGCAGGAATACCTTTTCTGGTTAGGTTAGGTAACATTCAGGAACTATTAGTCAAAAGGATAAGAACAAAACTGCTGTAGCTGTAAACAGACAGTTGTTCATTGAAACGTATTCCCAGGTGCAACTGTACCATTAGCTTTGACGTATTCTATTACGACTATTTTAAATGAATTACTTCCTTACATGCATGTATTACAATAATATTATTAATATACTTGAACATCTATTCTTTGTGGAGACGTGGAGACATTTTATTTTGGTTGAATGATTTAATTTACAGTGTATTCTAGTTATTTATCATTGTCTCCTAATTCAACATAAACTACTCAAGGTAGGGTAGCTTTCTTTGTTTGAACCATCCAATAGTATTTTTTTCAGATCATTGGAAAGGTAGGGCACATTTTCCAGGTTTGACTATCTTTAAACTGCATGTCAAATAAGCAATTAATTTAAATCACTAATAAAAATGACACAGAAGAATTGTATGAAGTGTGCCTCTTGTCCTTTTTTCTTTTGATATAATTTATCAGGTAAGCAGCTTTGGTTTAGTTTGACTAGGATTGCCCAGTATTTCCCTACTAACAGTAAGTACATTAATTACAGAAATGAATTCATACTATATAAAACTAGAGAAATTTAAAAACTATTCCCATGGTACATGTACACATAATTGAAAACGTCGTGAATTGTGCATTATTTTAGTTCTGACAATTGTCGAAACCCTCTTTCTCCTGGAATAACCTTATGTCCCTTTTTATCTTACAAATTTTCATCCCGAAAATTTACTTACTTACATGAACATGTACCTAAAAAGTAATACTATTGTGACAGGAAAGATCATTCTCTTTAATTGTTTTAAATGTACAAATTTTGCAAAACCGACTTATGCCCTGTTGTTGTTCTGCTTCAATTGCTTGAGGATAAATGAGCAGTAAATGGTGTATAATATTATTATTGGTGCCACACTGCATTCATTTTCATTAATTTTGCTGAAATGTATGCATACAGTACATAAGCATGACTAAGTTTAAAATGCTTTTAATTTGTTCAGAATGTAAATGGGGCTGCTAAATCCAGTGCTTCCTCAGGCCCTGTGGGTGCTGATTTTAAACCTCTGCAATCAGCTGCACCAACCACTAGTTATCAAAGCCCACCTGTTTCGTCTTCAGGTTTGTGACTCCTTGCATTTTTCTTTCCTAATTGTGTTGTATGTGGTGCATTAAAGAGTTGTTTTTGGACCTCAGTCTGGATCAGCTGTTGCACATGACCAAAACCAAGGCTTATTCAAGAGTGGGGCATTGTGGGATTTCTGCGATTGGGAAAAAAATGCCACAAGAAGTTTACATACATGCCAAAAATGGAGTGCAGATATGATCTGAAATAAATATCACAATAAATACAATCGGTTAAGTGGAATTAATCAAGAATCCAATACTGAAGTGTGATCTCATCTTTAAAGATTGTTTAATGTTTTATAAAAACATTTCAGAATTGGGGCCCAGGAGAGCCTTGTTTGTCAATTCGTACAATAAACCCTGCAAAATCAGCTTGCAAAACAGAGAAGCTGTTGATAAGGTTGAAAAGAAATAGGCCATTTTTTAGTTCCATAAGCTCTTTAAAGTAAGGCCAACACTAAAAAAAGACAGCATTTTTTTCATTTAAGAGACTTCGCATTTACCCTCATGGTGTTTGAGGAATGGCATTACATTATCCTTTAATAGCTTTGTCAAGATAATTGATGAGTAGAACACTTTATGAGGAATAAAACAGTTACTGAAGCATTTACTTTTTCAGTCTTCTAAAATGCTTGAGTATTCCAAGGTTTAGTTATCAAAAAAATCATCTTCTTTCATTGTAGGTAAACCAATAGTGGTTCCACCTCCCACTTCAGCACCCGTGGTGTCTAAGCCTGCTACCATTGTTGCACCAGGAGCAACAAGCCGTTTGATTCATCCTGATGAAGACATTTCATTAGTAAGTACCTGAACTGCTTCCCCTTTCAGTTGGATGCACACCACGTGCACATTTAGCATATATTTTGAGTAATTGTATTTTAATTTATGTTGTGCACAGTCATGCTTTAGTTGACCCTTCACCTTTACTTCATCATAGATTGCATTTATTTTTTGACGTTTCCCATAGCTGTATGTTCAGTAAGTAACATTGTGGGTGGTTCCTCCTAAAATGCTCAGTCTGCAGTTGGTATTGGATCAACTATAGCCATAGGCAGTTGGGGGAATTGCACACATCTTAGGCATTCTACTGATGAATAGTTATGGCATTCAACACCTGATGCAATGTATCTGCTGGAGAAACAATTGTCTTTAGCCTCACTTGCCTGTCCCCAAACATTGTGCAACCAACTACCTCTACGGTCTCAGATATTTGTCTTAGTTTATATTATCAAAGAAATAATAGTTAATATTTGTTTAATGAAGATGTATGTGATACCATTACTTTCTTTAACAGGAGGAAAGACGAGCATCTTTGCCTGCGTATGCTCCTAAGACACCCAGTTTGGTTTCATCCAACCCTCCAACTATGGTTAGTGGTCCACCGTTACAGATGCAAGCACCTGGAAACCACCCTCCTCTAGGACCCATGCCTTTAATGTCCAACATGCAACCACATCCAATGCCTATGCTATCAGCACCCACAGGGGGGCCACCGCAAGGAGGACCCATGCCTGGGGGACCAGTTCCTGGTGGTCCAATGCCTCCTGGTATGAGACCACCTGGATATCCTGGCCAAATGCCAGGACCACCACCACCACAACATCAACAAGGAATGCCACCTGGAATGCCACCGAGGCCACCCTTGATGGGACCTCCATCTCTCATGGGACCTCTGCCTCAAGGCCCTGGTGGAGGGCCTCCTCGTGGACCCCCTCCAAGAGGGGCAATGGGACTTCTTGGACCTCACCCAGGCGGTAGGCCACCTATGAGATTACCCATGGGTCCTCCCAGAAGGTTCTAGACAGTTAGAATAAAGTTAATGTCAACAGAAATGCCAGATGATTGTCACTAAGGAGGCAGTGCATACATTTCACAGCCATCTTGAATGTTCATTTTGTCACAGTGTACAAAGTTGCAGCTAGGAAGTTTTAATTTACCGAAAATAAGCTTGAGTATAGTTTACTTTGGAAACGTAAGTTTTTGTCCTCCATAGTAACAATCAGTCAATTTTGGAGGTGGTGTAAGGTGAGTCATATCTACATAATTCCTCCATTCATTCTTACTAGCATGCTTTGTGGAAATAATGTATTACTTACTAGCATAACTGCCTATGATGTGAAGACTATTTTCTTTCATCTGGCATTTCAGTCATCTATTTTTTGAATATGGAATGAATTTGTTGCACTCACTTAGTATTATTTAAGATTTCTTAATGATCCTTTTTCTTAAATTTAGTACCAGAATCGTGCTAAAAGATTGAGCATTGTAAGTTCAGCGGTTGACTCAGCTTTCTACTTACTATGAATGGAAATTTCATTTTTGTACATACAAAACCAAAAAGGTAGGTTTAAGCATTAAAAATGCTTTTTGCAATCATGAATAAATATGGCTACATGTAACTAAAATTGCCTTGCCAGCAAGATAACATGTTGTTGTATCATGATGGCTACCATTAAGGCAAAAGCACCCATACTGTTCATGTGGTCACACTGTGGTTTTGTATTCAAGGCAAGGTAAAGGTTACATTTTATCATTCACCTTATTACTGATTTAAATTGATCAATGAACTACTGCACTGTAAGTTAATTTTAAGCTGTATTAAAAGACTTACTGAAAAAATCTTGGGCACTATAGGTTTTGGTGGTTGAAGTTGTGCCGAAAAAGGGAGAAATGCTCTCTCCTTTACAGAGGGTCACACTTAATGTTCATACCTTTCACAAATGCAATCCCTTTGGGCAATAATGCAATGCAATAATGACCCATGAAACCTCTTAAGAGAAGAGAGGAGAAAAACTTTTTGGCAGACATTCTTTGAGTTCCGTGTTTTAGAACAGAAAGATGGTATAGTACAATACTCTAATAATTGATAGTGTATTGTATTATACACACATTATTATTTATTCATGCATACTGAAAAATGCAGCCAAAATAATTTTCCTTAAAGGGAAATAACAAGGTTATCCTCGTACACGACCATTTCCATGATTTAACGATGGAATGGAATTTACACTGGTTTAACAAAATGCAAATAATGTCTGCATAAAAAACTAGAAAAATGGTACTTAAAATTTCTCAGTGTCTGTGTTGAAGAACAAAAAAAGGAGAGAGTAACTAACACTGTCATTTTTTTTAAAACAAAACGCTTCAACTTTTTGGGAGTATTAAGGTAGGTCCGTACAGAGGTTTGTCAATAATTATTCTTTAGTATTGAAATACCAGTACTTTGTATTGATGCCATGATAGCATAGAATTTTACTACTTGAGTTTATGACATGCCCATCTTTTGTAACTGTAGTAAAGCATGTGCAAATAAGTCAGGTTTTTTTCCTCCTCAGTGTTCAAATACATTGTCATCCTTTTGCCTCCCACAAGAAAATTCCAAAGCTTCTTTTAAAGAATGTCTTAAGCATTTGGGCCAAGTTGTTCGAATGGTGGACAACGCTATCCACTGGATAAATCTCTAGCCAGCAGATAGCGCAATAAGTGGTTTCCCTGATACATAACTACTGGATAGTGATTAATGTGGTGATAGCGCTATCCATCGTTTGAACAACTGAGCCCAGGGAAAGAAGCTTTGATGGACAACTTTACATTTTACAGTGACCCTCAAAGACCATGAACACTAAAACCTCGCAGGAATACCTTTTCTGGTTAGGTTAGGTAACATTCAGGAACTATTAGTCAAAAGGATAAGAACAAAACTGCTGTAGCTGTAAACAGACAGTTGTTCATTGAAACGTATTCCCAGGTGCAACTGTACCATTAGCTTTGACGTATTCTATTACGACTATTTTAAATGAATTATTTCCTTACATGCATGTATTACAATAATTGTTAATATACTTGAACATCTATTCTTTGTGGAGACGTGGAGACGTTTTATTTTGGTTGAATGATTTAATTTACAGTGTATTCTAGTTATTTATCATTGTCTCCTAATTCAACATAAACTACTCAAGGTAGGATAGCTTTCTTTGTTTGAACCATCCAATAGTATTTTTTTCAGATCATTGGAAAGGTAGGGCACATTTTCCAGGTTTGACTATCTTTAAACTGCATGTCAAATAAGCAATTAATTTAAATCACTAATAAAAATGACACAGAAGAATTGTATGAAGTGTGCCTCTTGTCCTTTTTTCTTTTGATATAATTTATTGTAGAATTTTTCTGCCAGTGAGCCGGGAACAGCTTTTGCTATTGCGGGCCAAAAAGTAATGCAGGACATTGGCATTTTCAAAAAGCAGCACTATGGACAATGACATGCTACATTGAAAGGTTTTTTTCACCTTCAGAAAAGTAGGCTTAGAAGTTTTCCCTGGGACGAAGTAAACTGGTTATAATAAGGACGTGGCCGTGTTAAGTGGGAGGACTGGTAACTTGTCATCTCAGAGGGAAGGGATCGCAAAGAGTGATGGGAATGAGGAGGGCCAGCGAGGGAAAAAGATATTACAGTTGACTCCCAATAACTCGAATGCCCGCTAACTCGAACCTCGCGCTAACTCCAACCAAAGTTAATTTCCCCGAGATTTCCTTCTTGCCTTTACTGTAATTTTACCCTCGGTAACTCGAACCTCCCGCTCACTCGAAGTAATTTTTTTTCCCTTCAGATCATTTCTATACAATTTTACCCTCGATAACTAGAACCATGTTATAGGCGCATGACAAGTCGGGAAAAAAAAAACGGTGTACTGGAGTCCTAAACATTGAATTTATTTCAAAACAATCGAGTCAATTCTTTGTCTTTACTTTTTTGTCACTCCAGTTCAAATTTAGTGTCCATCCCTGTATACTTTGTTTCTTAATTGCATTCCCTCCCCATCCATTTGCTTATTTCGTTACTTCTGGTTATTTGCTTCAAACTCCTGATAACTCGAACTTTTTTTCAATTTCCCATGAAGGTTCGAGTTATCGGGAGTCTTCTTTCCCTCTCTCCTCTCTAGTACCAAAACATGTGTTGATTTAACATCAAGAATGCTGCTATATCCGAGCTGGCAGCTTGGTACAGTAGAACCTCTATTAAGCAGTCAATTGCCAGAGATGGCAGTGAGGTCTGTGGCGGGAGTGGGTGCGAAAAGGAAAGAGCTATTTACCATACTCTTTCCAAACTTTCGCATGGTGGTAAAATTAATTGGAGAATTCGTGGCGAATTCAATTGTATGTAGTGCTCTTCATCAATACCTAAAGAAATAAGTGGGGGATAGGGAGTGGCTGAAGTGATTATCGTTTATGGAATTTATCAAAGCAACTTCAAGCAAGTCTCAGTGTACCTTACCAAGGTTTATTATTATTATTATTATTATTATTATTATTATTATTATTATTATTATTATTATTATTATTATTGTTATTATTATTATTATTTTATTTATTTTTTTTTTTTAGCGACGCGAATATCCAATGACACTGCTAGAAAGAGCGCCTTAATCAATTACAATATTTATTTTGTTCTTTTTAGCCGTGTTGACGGATTTTCGCTAACTGATCCCTGTCTAAAAAAAACGTTGGAGGGTCTATTACAAATACGGCAGACGCGGCTGTTGGGTGAATCTGCCGATTCCAAAATGGACAAAATGTTTCTCACATTATTCATCATGGTCACTTGGCAACAAAACACTCTTGTACCCTCCTCGACTGTTACAAAACGAAACGTATCAACTGCTGTAGAAATATTGGGTTACTGGGTCTTCATGCTGGCATAAGAAAAGAACATCTCTGAATTTATCCAGCAGTGTTAGGAGCTGGGATCTTCGCAGGTTCTCGTAATACATGACTTCTTCCAAATGCTGTTTTCCTCTCAAGTAAGGTGTCAGCCTGGGGAATATAATTCCAAACTTCAGAAAATAGGAGCAATAGCATTAGATACTATGGGAATCTAGGACTCAATATGACGTCAGTATCACGTGTTTTCGTTTTGGAAAATCCCACCCCCCAAGAAATTTTCTGTGCCTCGAAGATTCTGATTGTTTTCTGATGTTGTCTCTGATTGTTATTCTGAGAAGCTGATGTATTGTTAGTCTGAAGGTTTTGAATTTTAACCTTGAAGATCATCTGAGAGAAAGTCTAAGATTGTGTCCGTTTTATTCAGGTACTCACTCAACCGCAGAGCCTAAGAATCTGCAATCTTGTACCCAGAGTCCTCTGGAGTTTTGGTCAGAGGGCAGGTAGCCTGCATAACAGGCGCTTTATCAGCGCGGAATTTCGCGTCTCGCGCATGTCGCGATTTGCGCGAAATTCCGCATTCACTTCGCTTGGCTCGTAAAGCGCCTGTTATGCAGGCTAGAGGCAGGTCCCTAGCGTAGCCAGAAGACTATGGATGCAAGATTGGAGAACAGAATCTGCTGAGTCGTTCACTTTTTACGTCTGCACTCGAAAGATGGAGTGGAAGTTCTATAACATCCCACCGAACCACTGGGGGGAAGAGAGAGGTACCTCAGCCTACTAACACAGTGCAAGCCCTCGTTACACATTGCGTTTAGTTCAGTTCTACGAGAAGTATGCCCATTGAATTAAATGGCGAAACGTTTCAAAGCTTTGGGGTGGGAATAAAACAAGACTTCAAAGGTACCTGCGGAGCTCTCAAGGAGAAGAAATTTTATTAGTGACAAAAGCTACCCTTGTTCCCAGTTTTAGTTTATATGTTTTTCTATAATAAAGTGATGTAATGTGATCTGATGGTCGGTGGTCTTGAGGACGCTGGGACATCACACGAAGAAAAAATAATTCCCAATTTATAGTCATTCCAGGCTTCAGACTCCCCTGGAAAAACGGGTTCATTTCAGGACTACGAACAAGTCTATGCAGAAACGACACTAAAAACAGAAAACCTGCTCGAACAACGTAAGGACTTTAAAATTTCCTACCCGGGGAAAACGTGTATGAAATTTACTTCATGTGACATGATGGCTTGCCGTATCATTTTACATCCAAAAGTAAAGGCGCAATAAGATTCGGAGAGCCGCCAAACAGAAATTTCACAACAACGCTGGGGATGCGTGGTGATAGTGAAGATAGCATAGGAAGAATCCAGCACGGGTGCATGGCAGCCGTTCGAAAGAAAAGAAGAAGGGAATTGGGGCGCGAGACCGCGCGCGTGGGAAAACCCCGCCCCAACCCTCCTTCCTCGCGGGCGGACCTTCGCGCTTCTCACGCGCCCAATATTCCCTTTTCATTTCGAACGCGTGCCACGCACGCTACCAATAATCTGGCTGAAATTTGGTACTGTTTTTGGTACTTCCTCGAGTAAAAGCCCTAAACAGACCCCTCCGTCGATGAGGCTGGAAAGAACGCCTCGAAAACATTCAAGTTGCCAAGCTTGAGTGAGATTTGTTGAAAATTATAAACGATGAAAAAGCTCTGTAAGCCAGGAAATGTTACAGACTGTATGGTGGGGTATGAGAAGTATGAGAAGTTAGCCTACAAAAAGGGTTTTGTTTTTCGCGTTTTTCAGGCGAGCACGAGGCCGGCGTGGGTGAGCGTGGAGGGACACACAGCGCACCTTGCTCACTCTTGCGCTTGCCTTTGCTCGCCTGAAAAACGCGAAAAAAAAAACACGCCAGAGAACCCTCTCAATACCACAGAATCCCATTCTCTTCTCCTACCTTGTAAATAACTTCATGTCTTCAGGATTCATAAGGTGTCAGCCTGGGGAATATAATTCCAAACTTCAGAAAATAGGAGCAATAGCATTAGATACTATGGGAATCTAGGACTCAATATGACGTCAGTATCACGTGTTTTCGTTTTGGAAAATCCCACCCCCCACGAAATTTTCTCTGCCTCGAAAATTCTGATTGTTTTCTGATGTTGTCTCTGATTGTTATTCTGAGAAGCTGATGTATTGCTAGTCTGAAGGTTTTGAATTATAACCTTGAAGATCATCTGAAGAAAGTCTAAGATTGTGTCCGTTTGATTCTGGTACTCACTCGACCGCAGAGCCTAAGAATCTGCAATCTTGTACCCAGAGTCCTCTGGAGTTTTGGTCAGAGGGCAGGTAGCCTGCATATAACAGACGCTTTATCAGCGCTTAATTTCGTGTCTCGTGCATGTCGCGCTTCGCGCGAAATTCCGCGTTCACCTCGCTTGGCTCATATTAAAAGCCTGCAGGCTAGAGGGCGGGTCCCTGGCGTAGCCAGAAGATTGGAGAATAGAATCTGCTGAGTCGTTCAGTTTTCCCTCAGCAGTCGACAGAGGTAGTGGAAGTCTCATAACATCCCACTGAACCACTGCGGGGAAGGAAGAGATACCTCAGCCTTCTAGTACAGTGCAAGACCGTGACCTCTTTACCACATTGGGTTTTTCGCGTTTTTCAGGCGAGCACGAGACCGGCGTGGGTGAGCGTGGAGGGACAGACACGCGCTGCGTGCGTGTCTGGCGCTCCTTGCTCACTCTTGCGCTTGCCTTTGCTCGCCTGAAAAACGCGAAAAAAAAAAACACACGCCAGAGAACCCTCTCAATACCACAGAATCCCATTTTCTTCTCCTACCTTGTAAATAACTTCATGTCTTCGGGATTCAACGCAGCGGGCACTTGAAGCACACTTTTCCTTTCAGCGTACGTCAGATCCTTTAGTTCCTCTTCCAGCTCGGGGTTTATTTCATCCTCGGCAGGCTCATGTTGGTTATCGGCTAATGATGACAGACCATCCGGAAAACTATCTCCGAATATCCAACGCACTCTGTGCCCACTGCTTTGTTCAAATTGGGCCGTGGGTACCAGAAACACATAGGTGTGTAGCTGAAGAGATAAACAAACTGACAATCAGAATTCAGTCTCAAGCGTACCATAAGGGACCCTGTTTTCGGGAGGTTTACCGAAAGGAAATTCCGTCGACCATACCGTCGTACTGTTCAGCTAATCAAAGAACTATTCCAATCTTTGCTCCACCTTTACTCCGCAGTGTAAAATAGGAAAAAAGAAAACAAAATGTCATTAAAACGTCAGAAAGTCCACTTTCGTGTCTGACCTTTTGCTAACACGTTGTAAACTTTTTTTTCAGTTAAAAGCAGGGTTAAAAGAAGTTTTGCACTAAGGCCGTGATTTCTTTTTTCAGAGCAAGAACACATCGCTAATGCTTGGTGGCGTCCCAACCACATTTTGTAATACTGCTCACTAAAAGATGACCATTCAACTGAAAATCGCCCCAGTTAAGGTTTGGTACAGGGCAAATATCCACCCTGGTCTGCTATAACTATATGTAACAGTTCCACGCACAATACGATTGATCACTCCTACGTGTAAAATACCTGTATTAATAATCTTCGTTGCAACATCCACACTACCATTTGCACCTGTTCCGCCTAAAATTGGACAAAAAAAGCCTTTTGAAAGGAAGGAATAAAAAGTATGTCATGTACCATTCCAAAAACCATGATTAAGAGGGCGAATAACATAGAATGTTTTATGGCCAAAAGGAGAGGAAGGAAAACTTGAATTGAAAGAATAGTGGAATTGCAGCAACGTACAGTGAGCTACAGTTCGAAAAACAATCTGGACCCATTCCCCCTACCATAACCAATGTTGACTTGGTTGTTGTTTCCCGGATACAAGCGGCTGAGCAGCAGCACAACATCGTTTGTAGCGGGGGAGGGGGGCGTGGAGGAGGAACGGCTTGTTTTTCCTTTTGAAATGGAAAGTATCGGCAGAACGAAAGAAATGTCGACGAGGGCATAGTTGAGTGTCTAGACTAATTTTATCGCCAATTGTAGCTATTTATTAATAATTTCTTAATTGCACTTGTTACATCTGACGCTTGGGGAAACGTTTCCTAGTTCTCTACCTCTTTTCTGTGTATCTGTTACGGTTATGTATTTTTTCCGCGAGAATTAGGTTCCTTCAAGATCATCTGTGGTATGTCGACTGAAGAAGCAGTGGGGGGCGTTGTTTCCCCTATCGGCCACTTCGGAGTTGCGTAGGGAACTGGGGCGTGTTTCAAATTTAAACTAATCGATTTACTGGTACCACCATATAGAAGGTCATGTTAAGATTGGTTATTTGACAAAGTTTGGTGTCTATCTAAGGTTGAACAGGGATCAAGTAATGACTCTTGAAACATGGTTAAAGATCCATACAAACGTCTGTAATTTTGTGACAGCATCCTCCAAAACCCTATAAACTCTTTAAAATATTTTGAGTTTTTCTGTCAAACTGTAAAATTCGTCATGCACCTTCTACTTGGAAGGAAATAATTCGAAAATCCCTGTGTTTGCCCATTTTCAGGAATATCACAGAAATCGTGAAAAAAATTGAGAGTTTACAATTAACCCGACCCAGCTTAGGAGAGATTGGCCACACCACCGGGGTCTATGTCCCCCACTCTTTTCGAACAGTGGTGTGGGTTCTTTTACGTCCCACAAGAACCAGATATTCAGTGAAAGTGCTGTGAGACGGAACCTACGGTTTTTCGTCCTTATCTGAGAAGACTGCAAAGTCTAACTGTTTGCAAGATGTCACTATAAAGGCAACACTTTCTTCTCAGTGATTAAAAGAACCTGAGTGTTGGTCCGGCCGGGGTTTGAACCCGCGACCTCCCGCCCAACAGACCGGCGCTCTGCCAACTGAGCTAACCAGGCGACGGTGAACAATAAACTGGACAAGTTTTGTACTAGTCTGCTACACAGCCGTTTTTAGTGTCGTCACGCAACGCTCACTAAAAACGGCTGTGTAGCAGACTAGTTTTGTACCAGCTCAAAAATACCTGCTGCTGTGGTAACCCCAGGGGATTATTGTGTTCACTGAGAGGAGCTGGTAACGAGAATTCCGACAGCACGTTGTGCAGTGACATGCGCGGAAACCTTGACGTAAACTCTTCGACGAGTGGTGATGAGCTGCAACAAGAGAAATTGTTTAATAGATGATTGGTATATATAACATGCGCTTCATAAATTTTCTCCTTTGATTAATTGTAAGTTGACTAGATGTGCTTTATAACTTCTAGATATAGCCTCCCATTCAGACGTTTTTTGGGCTGGTCACGCAATCCTCCCCAGGAACGCGTGACTAACCCCTAAGAACGTATGCGTGCGAGGCTACAACTTCACGCCCAGGTCACAAGTGTTCTAACTGGCCCGCACTTCATAAAGAACACACTGCCCTGTATGGTCAAAGGGGCTCACGAAACACATGTACACATGATAGGTTTTAATAAAGTACCCCAGTCTTACAGAAAGAGTACAATACACAAAACTGGAAAAACCAGACGAGATGTACAGCCGTGAGGTACGCGCATTTTGGACAGACTTACACGTTTACAGAGGAGTTGGGTGCGACAACATACACGTTACTCTCACAGAGAGGGTACACAATAGTAGCCATTCCCCAATAAACTAGATGAGCTGCTATGGCGAATACCTGAAAAAAAAATACATGTACTTTAAAATAAATCAACTGAAGTTGAAGGATTCTCTCAGGATAAAAAGCCACATACCGTAGACTGCGAGCTTAAGTAACAAGAACGCTCACGTCCCGGATGTCATGAATGGCTAGGAAAAAACTTGTTTTTTTTAACATGATTTAACGCTCCTGACACAACATGCTTCAAAGCTTTTGGTTATACTCTTGCAGTATGAAGTAATCGAGACAGACCACCGAAAAAGAGAAAAGCTCAACTTCCGATTGTTATTTTTAACTTGCGAGACATCAACGCTCTCGTCTCTTAAGCTCGCTAATAAAAAAAGGTCGCAAATGAGCAGGTAGTATGATTCTTTGACGGTCCTTTCCTAGTTTCCAAAGCCTTTCTTCAGGTCCGCAACTGAGCCCGCACGGTCAATTCATTTTGGTGACGTAACCGATACTGAAGTCGCATCATGTGACCTATCCGAAAAGTTTGAGGCCTGAGAACTAGGCGAAGATGGATTGAGGGAGCCTTAAACGGTCGGAGAATCCGGAGAAGACTGCTCAAAAATTGATGCAATTTTTCCGAAGCCACGAAGCTCTCAGATACCTCTCTTTTCTCTGCCAATTGAAAACACGCCTACTATTGTTTTTTTTTTTTACGGTTAGGACAATGTTTGGGTCATTCATCTATGCTTTTGTTAGCTAATTGAACCAACAATTATTCATTCTGCGATCTGCGTGGTGCTCCCAATTTTTCCAGCTACTTCATGCGTGATTTTCGTCTTTCCCTGAGAAAACTGCGCATGAACGCAACCAAATCAAATGCTCTGTTTTTGATTGGTCTAGAAACAACCAATGCAAAGCTACACGCCACTTTGTTAGCTAATCAGAGGCAGAAATAATCGCGACAATGACTTTTCCGCGCACTCAGCTCATATCTCATCATTGATTGAAGTGATACACGCGATTTTAAAGTGGTTATGAAATGACATGAAATGAGTGTGATAAAATCATAGATAACGAAGAGTCCTTTATTTTCCTCTGAACAGGAAAGTAAATGCGGGAAAAGTCATGGGTGGTTTTGTTTTTAGTTCGCAATCCTGATTGGCTGATTAACTAATTTTTTTAAACAAATCATGAAAACATGACTTACCATAGGGAAGTCTTGTTTTTAATTTAAAAAAAATTCTAAAAAAGAACATTTAAAAATAATGGCCTCCTCTACTCAGACCTACTAAGGGCTTCAGAAACGAGTGACAAAGCCCTGAGAAGGTCTAAGTTAAGGACAACTGTCTTTTGCAGACCTGAGAAAGGGGAATGTCAGTGTCTTGCGATAGCGTCTGAAAGCTTAGATCCCCCATCTCACGTGTTTCATTTGACAGTTGGTTCCAAGCCATTGCACCCCGATAAGAAAATGAGCGCTTGAGAAAATTTGTTTTAGGTAGTGGTAGTTGGAGATCATAGTTAGAACCCCTCAAATTTTAGTCATGAATTTCAGAGGTTCTATGAAACCGCTCCCGAAGGTACGTCGGACAATCATTATTGAATATTTTAAACATCGTTTGTAGCGGGGGAGGGGGGCGTGGAGGAGGAACGGCTTATTTTTCCTTTTGAAGTGGAAAGTATCGGCAGAACGAAAGAAATGTCGATGAGGGTATAGTTGAGTGTCTAGACTAATTTTATCGCCAGTTGTAGCTATTTATTAATAATTTCTTAATTGCACTTGTTACATCTGACGCTTGGGGAAACGTTTCCTAATTCTCCACCTCTTTTCTGTGTATCTGTTACGGTTATGTATTTTTTTCCCGCGAGAATTAGGTTCCTTCAAGATTATCTGTGGTATGTCGACTGAAGAAGCAGTGGGGGGCGTTGTTTCCCCTATCGGCCATTTCGGAGTTGCGTAGGGAGCTGGGGCGAGTTTCAAATTTCACCTAATCGATAAACTGGTACCACCATATAAAAGGTCACGTTAAGATTGGTTATTTGACCAAGTTTGGTGCTCTATCTAAGGTTGAACAGGGATCAAGTTATGACTCTTGAAACATGGTTAAAGATCCTGATACAAACGTCTGTAATTTTGTGACAGCGTCCTCCAAAACCATATAAACTCTTTAAAATATTTTTGAGTTTTTCTGTTAAACTGTAAAATTCGTCATGCACCTTCTACTTGGAAGGAACTAATTCGAAAATCACTATGTTTGCCCATTTTCAGGAATACACAGAAATCGTGAAAAAAAAATTGAGAGTTTACAATTAACCCGACCCAGCTTAGGAATGATTCAGACTGGGAATGATTGGTCACACCACCAGGGTCTACGTCCCCCACTCTTTTCGAACAGTGGTGTGGGTTCTTTTACGTCCAACAAGAACCAGATATTCAGTGAAAGTGCTGTGAGACCGGACCTACGGTTTTTCCTCTTTATCTGAGAAGACTGGAAAGTCTAACTGTTCGCAAGATGTCACTAAAAAGACAGCACTTTCTTCTCAGATCCTGAGTGTTGGTCTCGACGGGGTTTGAACCCGCGACTTCCCGCCCAGCAGACCGGCGCTCTGCCAGCTGAGCTAACAAGGCGGCGGTGAACAATTAACTGGGCAAGTTTTGTACCAGCTCAGAAATACCTGCTGCTGTGGTAACCCCAGGGGATTATTGTGTTCACTGAGAGGAGCTGGTAACGAGAATTCCGACAGCACGTTGTGCAGTGACATGCGCGGAAACCTTGACGTGAACTCTTCGACGAGTGGTGATGAGCTGCAACAAAAAAAAAATTGTTTAATAGATGATTGGTATATATAACATGCGCTTCATAAAATTTCTCCTTTGATTAACTGTAAGTTGACTAGATGTGCTTTATAACTTCTCGTCACGCAATCCTCCCCAGGAACGCGTGACGAACCCCTAAGAACGTATGCGTGCGAGGCTACAACTTCATGCCCATGTCACAAGTGTTCTAATTGGCCCGCACTTCATAAAGAACTCACTGCCCTGTATGGTCAAAGGGGCTCACGAAACACATGTACACATGATAGGTTTTAATAAGGGACTGGTCAAAAAGTATGGGGGGGGGGGGGGGGGTCCTCTACTCAGACCTACTAAGGGCTTCAGAAACGAGTGACAAAGCCCTGAGAAGGTCTAAGTTAAGGACAACTGTCTTTTGCAGACCTGAGAAAGGGGAATGTCAGTGTCTTGCGATAGCGTCTGAAAGCTGTTGAGGAGGAAAAACACAAATTAAAGTTCGATTAGTCTAAAATACAATATTCACAGAGTACTGCAGGATGACTTTGCACAATATATTCAGTTTGGTTAGTCATTACTTGTGATCTAATAGACTCGTCTTATAATATATACTATCACTATTGCTATTAATATTCGTCATATTAAACAGAGACTGCTTATAGTTTTCAGATAAGTAATCTTTTCTTGAGACTATTTTAATTGCACGTTAGCTGTATACCTCTTCAATGGACTAGCCATTCGTACAAGCCTGGTGACTGCCGGGGAACAGTCCCCTGGGAGGGACGCCACAAGATATCCCTCATCCACTAAAAATAACAGTGTATGATATGGCCTGAGAAGAAAAATAAAAATAAATCCACGGTCAAATGGGAAATAAGCAGCCTTGGTTCAATGCATCTTTGTTACTGGAGTTTTGTGCTTTGTAAAAATACGGTCGGCAAGTTTGAATCATCTCGCAGAGGTGATTTTTGATGAACCTAATGATTCCTTGAGAATTTGCCAGAAAACGCCGTTCACTGCTTCACGACTGTTTGTTCATCGGGATCGGGAAAAGTCTATTAACAGTGCACACTTTTCTTTAGTCACAGTATGTTAAAACTAATGGAGTCTGCCCTGGCTTCTAGTATTACCGTGGTTACCTAACTATGGTACAATTAACTATGTAACTGGTAATTATGAATAAGAACTACAAAAGCTTTAACTCAAACCTGATGGCTGCCAATGAAGTGTGTATGACTTCAGGCTGAAACAGACACATAAATGTATCATTAGTGAAATGGTGAATATTATTTTTGCCATCCTACCATATTTCATAAGTTTAAAGGATAGCAAGGGTGACACAGTGATGAGAGCTCTCACCTCCCATCAGTGTGGCCCAGGTTTGAAGGTTCTGTGTTCTGGAGGCTAGAACACAAGTGGGGTGGGATAGGTTTATTGGAGGTTTTGCACCCTGCTCCCAGAGGTTTTTCTCTGGATAGCGCGGTTTCTCCTCTCCTCAAAAACCAACAACTCAAAATTCAATTTGATCAGGAATTACAGAAAAAGAACCATGTTGTGGATGTGCTGTCACTTAATCGTTACTCACTATTCTATTAATACTACCTATTTTCTTTATCAGCCACAAAGGATGCTTTGGTCGTTGTCCACCCTAGCACTTCAGCAAGGAAGACAAAGTCACATTGAAGTCCTCCCCATACACCACCTAAGGAAATTCCATTTTAGATCCTTTTTTCCCTAATTCTATGAGGAGATAGTGAGATGAATTTTATAAAAGGTCATGGATACATTGACATTAGTTTGATTGCCATCAATTTTGGAGCGCTGCTAGCTTTTGCGAGCACTGTCATTTGCTAATTCACTAATGCAGTGAGTCCAACGGTGACAAATGCTGGCAAATGATGTTATCTTCGGAAGAAGCAGATTTCCTGAGCCTTTAATAACTCAGATAAGATCTCTCATTAATGCTGGCAAAGGAGTGCCGGTATTGTCAAATGGTTAGGATCCAAAGCAGACTTGGATGCAGGTACTTCTCATATTCAAGTAAAATTAGTTGTACTCTGACTGCAATTTTAAAAAATATTTTCATGGAAGGCACAAGGTCAACTACTCATCCCGGTCAACTCCATCCTTCACGTCATACCTAGACAATCAGCCTATGCAAGCACCTGGAAGTTCTAACCTTTTAATTGTTCACTATGGAATACCGGTATTTGTTTCTGAAGTTACATACTGTTTAGCCCCTACACTAATATAACAAAATAACACTGAAGAAGGACAAATAAACATATGAAGAAGAAGAAGATTTCTTGGTAATTGTGTTCATGAAATACCCTTATTTTACTATGTCATTAATGTAAGTTAGAAAAACGAAAACACAGAAAGTTCTTTCAACATCTATATGGACTTACTTTAATGTGAATTGTTCCCATGTTTAAGTTGTGGACTTTGTGAGGAAGACAGAAACTAACATTAACCCATCCATTAATTTTTAGCCTTACTGATCCTGTAGCACACAAGCTGTGGAGCACACAAAATAGAAACAAGCAGTTGACAAAATGACAGTGTATCAAACTGTCAGATTCTGTGCTGTTCATACTTTGATACACTTCTATAATATTATTCATTAATGCAATTTCTGAAGGAAAAACACTTCAGCAAACAGGCCTGCAAATAATTTTTCTTTGTAGAAGGGGCATGACTGTCCAATCAAATCACCATATCTCAGTCCAAAAAACCATAAATGTGGTTGGATATACATATGTTGATATTTAATTATTCCTTTTATTACCATGCAAATCTTCAGCTACAAAAAGAGGTATGATTTTGTCAGGTATGGGCAGATTTCAGCCACACATTGTCCAATGACCAACTTTTATTTGCAGCTAACAGCAAAGACGCCAACTGTTAGGAAACAAATCCGCAAATGGGCCCAAATCGTCTTTCCAGGATCTCTACTCAGAAAGATACAACAGTGAATGGCCACTAACAAAAATAATACGAACTGACGTCTGCCAATCACAAAACCAAAATACATACAATACATGCAATAACATGAACAAGTGAGCAAACCTTTTGAAGACATCTTTCAAGTCCCTTGCGAGCTTACTCCTAGGAAGAATGTGTTGAAATGGTGTTTCTGCACAATCTGTTGCCAAAAAAAAAATGCATAGTTATTTCAGTTATTTTAAAGACAAATCTTTTCACCAATCTTTAAATAATAAACAGAGAATGTTACTGAATGTGACAGACATGGTTTGCAAAAATAATATTATATAATTATTATTATTAATACCTTCCGGCATAGTAGACATTTCATCATGTACTGAAAGCATTGCTTCCCTTTCTGAGCTTAGGTATCTGCACCTAAAAAATATTGTTGAGCACAATTTTGGTGAACTTTGATTAAATATGGCATAATAACAGGGTCATTATTAAAAAAGATTATTCTGTATGATAGGATTTCTTTTAAAAAGCCTTCCACAAATGCATTTATCCAAAATTTAATAGAAAATACTTATTATACATAACCGTGTTTGTCATGAAACATGTTTGCTCATTCCTCTAATTTTCATTCAGCCACATTGCTCTTAAGGTGTTAAATTATTATGATATTTTGAAATTTAATCATGAACTAATGAAGATAAAATTTCAAAGTTAACTTTACCTTATTTCCTCATGTTTCAGGGCAATAGCAATTCTCTTGGTTAGATCATGGTAGCAGTCGACAACAGATGGCTCAACACTTGCCTACAGAACACAACAGATTGAAATAACCTTGCTGAGAAAAAAGAAACGGATGTGTTGATTCCCTGAATTAGAAAGCCATAATTTGGAATCACAAACAAAACACAGTATAGTGCTCAACTTGTAAACAATGTTTTGTGTTTTTTCGCTTTCTTTTGGCTGACCAGAAAAGGCTCAACTTAGACAACTAACTTCAAAGAGGGTTTTTTGGCCAAATCTCCTGGGCCTGTTCATTCAAAAGTGCGTTAAGATAACCCAGGGTACACAAGAAATTTGAATTCAGATCTGATCTTTTATGAAGCACCAGTAATATATAATTCTCATAAATTGTTCTCCCCTACAATATTATAATACAGTGTATTTCATGTATAACAAGTTAAAATAAAGAGAGACAATGCCTTTTGACAAAAGAAGTAGGAACCCAACTTGAAATTAAACCCAGGGTTTGTGATAATGAACTTCAAACTACTGGGACCAAAGGTAAAGGGGTTCACTTTACGGTCATGCATTGGTTCACAGTGTCAGTTTGAGGAAACGCTTAACAGTTGAAGCTCATAGAGGGTTCCACTGTATAAACATGTCATAGGACAAAATTATGTTTAGGTTAAAATTTTTTAACCTTAGGGTTGATCTTCATTTGCCTTCATCTCCTAGACCTAATACATGAATAATTAGGGCTAGGAAACAAAGGAAATTGAAAATCAACCTAGGTTAAAAAATTTTAACCTAAATATAATTTTCACCTGTAACAAATATACTAAAAAAAATTTTACACCCAGATTAACTGTTTTAAACACAGCACTGAAACAAATAGACATTTACCTGAAGAACGAAAACGACATTGAAAAGTTTCATCATCACATCATCCTTCCTAGATGAGCCATCATTTCTCTAAACAAGTTGTATAAAATTCAGTTTAATATTTATATAGACTAGAACAGGTCATTATAAAAATTAGTATTATAATGTAATGAAAATTTTCTTATTCCTGGTAATACTAGCAACATCACCTGGTTGTCTCCTACCTTAAATTCCCGATCTTGTCTTTTGTAAGCCAACATTGGATGGCCAACAAACAAAACTTCCTCTACCTTTAACTCAAATTTGGTACCACATGCATCAGACTGGGGTGATAAAATGTTTGCCAGCGTGCTATCAGAGAAGCTATAAACAGCAAGAGAAAGTTGGGATTCTAAGAAAACGTTTCCTGGTGAACCAGTCAATAAAAAATTCATCAAAGAAGAGAACCATGACAGCCTTGCCGTAAAATACAACAATAACTGCAACAAAATGGTTATCAGCTGTAGGTAAAAATATACAAACAAAGAAACCAAACCAAAATCTTCTCATACCCAACAAGGTGACCATCTTTTATTCCGGAGAAATTTCTGAAAAAAAATGAAACAAAAGATCATTTGACAAAATTTGTCTAAAGGAAATGAGGAAACAAACTACCGGTAATAATAAACCCTCCCAAAACAATGCATAAATTCAGACAACAAAAAAGAAAGATTACATATCTGGTTAATTAATTGCAATAAATTATAATCTGTTGCTATTTATTGCATCCATTTTGAAATAAGTGGTGATCCTTGCATCCTGATTGGCTCTCAGCAACATGATTTATTTGTAAACAGACTGCACAATAAAAAGGTCTAAAGGTCTGGGCCCGGTTCCTGAAACGCCGAATAGCGTTAATCCAGGATTAAAATTTTGTTTCATTTTTGCACTTTACATTCCTATACATTGCTTAGGGTGGCATTTTGTGTTATCATTTCCATGTCTCGTTGTAAAGGATCAACAGTACTTTGTAACCTCAACTTGCACGTTCTTAGACGAGAAAAACGTGCTTTGAATTTTGCTTCATCCTGGGTAAAACTTAACCATCTTTCACGAAACCGGGGCCTGAAGGTCGGAACAAACTAGGTGACAAGTTGCAGCAACAGATCACTCCGTGTGTACATGTTGGGCAACTAGTTGTAGGATCACATTGCAGTGACAAATCACAGTGACAAATCCCATGATGTGTACTGGATAATGTTTGTGAAAATCTTTGTCTCTGCAACAGAATTCTGTTGCCGTAACAAGTCGCACAAATTCTGTACGATTTGATTTTTTGCGACATGCTGCTGCGACAAAATTCTGTTAAAGAGACAAAGATTTTCACAATAATTCTCCTGTACACACAAAGCGATTTGTCACCGCGATGTGTTGCCGCGACTTGTCTAACTAGTGTGTACTGACCTTAAGTTTCATGTGCTCTAATGACTGAGTCAGAACATTTTTGTTCTCACTCTAAATTACATCATGTTAATCTAAACTGCATAGTTTTGCATACAAAATGAGATGTTAATCAATAAAAGCATTCAAGGTTCTGCTTTTTTAAAAAATATTAGGCTATTGGGGTCAATTAAATAAAACTCCTACAAGACAGTGTAATTTACAAGAGTAGCTATTGTTCTCAGACTCTAAAACAATGGCTACACTTGTAAATTACACTTGTAAAAGTTTTATTAAATTGACCCCAGGAAAAAACACCAAGTGGTAATGAAAGTAGTAATTGAACTCTGTAACTTGCAAACTTTCTTTGAAATCTGAAATCATACCTGGGATTTCAAATTAAACTCACACTGCATGCTCCTTCCATTTTAGAAATCATGAGTATGATTCTTATCACTCTGACCACTCAGTTCAATTTTATCACCATTATTATAATCAAAATGGCAATGACAAACCTCACTACATACCTTGTATCTGTGTTCTCCTCTTTCTTTGCCAGTGCAAAGCGATTCTTAGGGATTTCTACAAGATAAATATTCTAACTTAAGCTTAGTTGAAGGCCTCTGAGCAAGAATGTCCTCTTGAAAATATAGTAATTTTGGAAAGGGACAAACTGCTGCAGTTTGCTTTCGACTTAAGTAAAGAAACACTGTTGCAATCATTTCTCCTTGGTTTATGTGCTATTTCCCAGAAACTGTGTACCGTAAATTATCTAATAGACCCACTCTCTCAATTAAATGCCTTTTGTTTAATAAATGCCCCCCACTATTAAGTTTGTATTATATGCCTCCCTCCAATAAATGCCTCCCCCCACCCCCCCACCCCCCCGGCAACTCTCTGTGCTGACTGAGCCAAACCTCCCAAACCTTTCACCTGACTCGTGGTCCTTGAAAACCACAGCCGGGTGTTCCTTGACCCAACAAGGGGATCTGGGTGCCAACACAATACATCCACTTCCTCTAAAATAACAAACGGTACTGTAAAGCAGAAGTTGAAATACAAATAAAAAATGAAAAAGATCAGCACTAGCCTTCTATAATATCTCTGAAATCACAAGCGTCTCTAGCATTGCAACTTAGTTTTTTGTGAGTTAAAAACAAGAGTCCTGAAGATAGCTTCATTGTGTCACTTTATACACTAGTTCATAGAAAGCCCCTCACCCCATCCCAGAGGAATAGCGGGGCATTAGACTTGGCCTGCCTTCTAAACATAACAAACTCCCTGCTATAAAGAGCAATTCTGAGCATCAAAACGTCACTTTTCTTCCCGTCCCCAGGGCAACACAGTACTTCTTTTTCTTGAGTTGAACTTTTGCAAATAGTTAAATCAACAATGCTGTACAATTGAATAATATTCTACCTTGAGCTAACTTCATGTCTCCAAGCAATTATGGTTACATGTTCATTAGCTCTCCAGTTTATATGCCCACCTAGAAGAATATTCCAGTCACTTCCTTCAGAAGTAAGGTTAGCAGTGCAAGTAGAGTGATTTATGCTTCTGTTCCTGTTCTATGCCTATTTCAAGATGGCGTTGAAGACAAATCCCCAGCTAAACAATGCTAAATGTCCCCAATCAGGCACTGACTCTTGTGTCAAATACAGTTGAAAACCCTGCATACCATGGCACAAATGACAATCTAAAATCGCTAAGTCTCCCGCTAATTCCCCAGGTATTGGGGTGTGGGGCTTTCCACTTACTAGTGCATTGCAGTCCCCTAAATACTAAAATAGAGCTTCGGGCTTAATGACTTTGGTTTCCTTTACGCTTGGTGTACTTAATGTAGTTTATTGCAATCAAAGCAATGTATTTTTAAACTCTTTCACCCAGCGACTTTAACAACAAATTAAAAATGAATGAATCAGCAAACTTTATTAATTTTAGAGAAGGACTTTTCACAGGAGCTCAACAATTCAGCAAGTTTATTCAATTGCACAATATTATATTTGGCAATCATTGGCTGAGGTTGATTCTGATCTGAAGAATTATGCAAATCTAGGAAGATGTTACCACCACAGCCTCCGAGATCTGCATAAGGGGCGGCTGTCAGTGTTCACAGGCTACGCGCTCTTGACGCGCTAACTGATAGATGCCGTGCAAATTACCTTTCTCCTTCTGTTCTGTACGGCATGGCGCTGTAAATGGATATCTAAATAAAAGGCTCTGTCCTCTACTCCCAGCTGTTACCAAAACAATGCTAACAGGATCACAAAGATCCATTCACCATCAACTTGGTTTTAACTCTAGGCGGCCGCCATGTTCGATTTTTCCTATCACAGTCTCTTGTATCTCAAGCACGCCAAGCAACCAAAGTTGGCAAAGACACTCAAGCAACCAACGACGCACAAGTACGACAAACCTATGAAAAAAGCGGTACACTATAGGAATCTATATCTCGGTACACTACAGGAATCGTATTTGAGTTACCTACCCAGTCTGCTCTTTCCAGCCGCAGTTCGGGAAATGAGCCCGCGCTCCTCCCTCAATCAGCGGCGGAAATCGAGCCTACAGTCCCAGGCGAGGCAGGGTCTAAACAGGGGTCTAAAGCTGGCGCTTGGCAGGTCTCCCCCGCCAAGGAGAATCCTTTGAGCGGATTTTATCTTTATCGACTTTATCTTTTATCTATCCTTTTTATTTTTTTATTTATTTATTGGATCTTAACTTTAGCAGTAGGTGATCATGTGTTCAACTTTCTGTAAACAAGAACAGTTCACTTTTTGAAAAAATTGTTTGCAGTCAGAGACCGCAACGGTTGCCGAAAATCAGAAGAATTTCCTATGGGAAACACAACTCTTACCACCCAGTCACGCTTAAGTGGTTTTCCATACAAACCCTTGTAAAATTTAAAAAAAAATTCAAATTGTCGTAAAATATTTCCTTAAGGTGATTCCCTAGTAAAAGAACCTAACATAGATTGTAGATGAAACTTGGTACACTGATGTGACAAGTCAAGAAGATGATAAAAAAGTAATAAAAAGTGGGAGTCACCGTGCTCGTTTTGACGTCACAGTACTGAGAAATACGGCTATTTAGGACCCTTGGTCAAAAACCGCGCGCAGCCCAAAACTAGACAAAAACGAGAAATTTTTCGATGATGCATGTGGTATCACACAGAATTTGACTTTACTGTATTGTTTATCCACTTACATACCAGAAAAATACCTTTTAATGCTCCTGTTTTTATTTTACGCTCCAAAGTAGAATTGAATTGGACACGCGCTATTCGACTCGTGATGGCTCAATCCGTACAATTTAGTAAAATTGCCAAAAAACTGAACATAGATTTGTGCCAATTTTTTTCTCATCGAAAGGAAGCACTGTCCTTATTAAAATCATGAAAAAAAAAATGGGGGTCACCGTACTCGTTTTTGCGGTAGAGCTGCAGAAAGTGCGCACCAAATGCATTTTCTACGAGTTTTGAGAGAGGACTGGGGCGAGTTTAAAAATAGAATGTATGTGAAAGGGGGAAGAAAGTAAATCTGTTTTTACAGAATTTACATCGAGATATCACATTTAGGATACAATGTGATAAAGAAAGCGTTTAAATAAAAATCAAAGTGAGTACGCACAAGTTAAACATCCACTATCGAGGTTATCCGTGAGGAAGTCGAACTCAGCAACACGCGCACTGCCTACGTTACGCACATTCCCAACACATTGAGTCTGACCTCGGCAAGAAACAACCGCAAGCAAAAATTCCAATTACGTTTCTCTTCAGTCAACTTCATTTTAATAATGCTACTTCACATGCTCTGTTTTACGGCGGCCATCTTGTTATGCGCAGTAAGAGATGCGCAGTGCAAAACCAGGGAATCACCTTAAGCATTATGGGGCTCCTTTCCTTTTTATTCATAACAGGCAATTTTCGGCGGCCGCTGCAGTCGCAACTTTTGAGATATATGGCTGAAAATTCACAAATTACTTGACTTTTTTATGCTCTTTCAGTTCATGATAACAAAATTTTCCAACAGCGAACTATTCTCACGTTTACAGAAAGTTGATCACGTCACTAACTATTGCAAAAGGCCTATTTCACTAATTTTTCCGGCCAATCAAGAGAAAGTGATGTCAAGTTCGATAGAAAAGCAAACGGTTGCTCGCAGTGGTTCTGCAGGAAACCAGTGAGACGAAATAGACGGGAAAACTCAAACTAACGAATTTTACTTTATAAAAGGGAGACAAAAATTCGCAGGGAAGCGATTCAGTCTCAGTGGTGTTTCACATGAGCTTAATAAGGATTATTTTACAGGTTAATTTATGGTTTTCTTGAAGGTCATCACTAAACCAGCATTGAAAGATCGACCGTTGTCTAGCCTGCGAGCAAGCACTCCATTTGGGGGATATCGTAAAAACTACTCGCGCTTGTTGGATATGAGATGATTACAGCCATCTCGTATCCAGGCAACTCATATCCACACAGCCTCATATCCATACTCATATCCATCCAGCCAACTCATATCCACTCGTGGAACAATTGTTAAAGAGATGCGAAAACTAGAAGAACAATGAGCCAGCGATCCCGTTTTTCCAGCACAATTTCCCGTACACTGTAAATTAAAAAGATCTGTTTCAGCCCCAAAGTGTCAATTCAGCCCTGCAGGCCAAAGTCTGATTCAGCCCTTCTTGGAGCCATTTGAGCACAATTTAGGCAAAAAAAGCTCTATCAAAAGGCTATTCCAGCCCACGGTAGGGCCCATTTCAGCCTTAGGACCAAATCAGCCCTAGCTAATTGGACTGTATTGGCCTGATTTAAGGGAGCCAAATTAGACCCAAAAATAGGACCGTATTTTACTCACCGAAACGGCCCTGTTTTTAGGGCTAAAACAGATCTTTCTGATTTAGAGTGTAATGTCCGATGGAATTATTGTGGAAATAGTGATCTCTTAGGGCTGCTTGATTTTGGAATTTTACGTAGTAGTTGAACTCTCATGCATTTGTATCTCGGCTCAGGTTGTCCAGAGGGCTGGAAAGAATTTGAATCTCTTTGCTACTTTTACTTCGACAAAGGCAAGATGGCGATGAGTCATACAGGGCCAAGAAGAATGCAAGTAATTAGGAGTCACCCTTTCAGTTATAAAATCAGCCAAAGAAAACGACTTCCTTCTAAGTTTGATTGAGGACAACGGTGATCCATGGCTTGGGATGGAAGCATCCAATCCACGTTACAGAGAATTCAGTCCGCCTATGTAGTGGATAGCATCGACCTAAACCAAATTTGGCGACCAAATCTTAGCTGAAAACATGGGTTTGATTGAAATGCTCATTGGTGCTGGCTTACAAAGCAGGTTTCAGTCGATGCTATCAAGTTTACTTTTCCGTATTACAATGTATGGTTCTTGTAAAGCCGTGCATAATGACTTGTTAAGAGCAGACCTGAACATTATCGTTAATCTGTGTTCCATTTATACCAGAAAATGATTTTGTGATGAGATTTACAGTGGCTACAGTGTGTAGGCTCTTAATCTTTGTATCTTATCTACCTTAGCAATCTCTTAAAGACGTTTATTCTGAAAACAAAAACGGGGCGAAGGTTAACTTACCGTTAAATTCCGAAAAAAAGCCCCGAGCCTTATATTTTTCGAAGGCCATTTCTGAAGGACTTATTTTTGGAGGGGCTTATATACGGAAGGAAAATTGCGTTTCAAAATCGGCTAGGCTTATACCCGAAGGGAAATTTAAGTCTCGAAATTAACTGGGCCAACTTTTTAAGTTGGAAGGAAATTTATGTCACTAATTTGCAGAAAGTTTTTACTGAAAGTCGCCTTGAGGACGTAGATCTTACTAAAACTCAGCCATGCAAGCACTTTATCTCTATGGAACGAGGAAATCCAAGCCAGAGTCAAGAGAGAACAACTCGCGCAAACAGCCACATACCGTGACACTTTTTTAGTACAATTATTTGGCACACGTAATAGTTCTTTGGCAAATGCAAAAATTTATGTGTTACTGTACAGGTTTTGCTTTGATTTATTTTGAATTTGAGGGCACTTCCCAAGCACTAGCCCCCAAGGGCTTACACTTGGCGGTAACTATAACTTGCGAGGAAATTAGCCAATTTGTTACCAAAACCAAGCACAGAAGTTCTTCGCAAGTCCACTTGTTACAAAGCCGTATCGTTATGGAATTCTCGTAACAATTACATGCGTGCAATCTCAAGCAAAAGCTTATTTAAAAACTCTCTTAAACGCAGAACTTCATGCGAATAGCTTAGTTTATAGATACATTTTTTCAAATAGGTTAGATCTTTTTTTTAAATTTTAATTAGTTTTCAAGCTTTTTATTCATTTGTGAACTGTGATGTGTTTAATTTTTAAATACACGACCACATCTGCTCCGCTGTAATTTTTATCGTGTTTTTAAACAACAACATTTATTTAAAAATAAATGTTGTTAATTGTTCTTGTTGTTGTTGCGCTCATGATCTGCCCCAGGGGGAAGGATTTGGCTCCTTTTTTTTACAGGAAATTCGTAAATTGTCTACTAAAACATTGTGAAATATGGAAGAAAGGCCAATTTAAGCACTAAAAGCTGCCCCGATATCTCAGAATTAGAAGATAACTAGAGAAATTGCTCAGAATGCAAAAAGTTGGTTGAAACGAATTCGGAAAAAGTTGCTCGAAACTGTACGAGAACTTGCCAAAAAGTTGCCGAGCAACTTGTGGAAAACCCTAGACCATTACTAATCGAGAAAAACAATGAATTTACCTTCTGCTTTGCTATGAAATTTCTCAAAATAAAAAAACATCTAGACAATTCCGTTGCCAGGTTCTCAAGAGAGGTTCTTGGTTGGAAATGAAATATTTAAGACAATCGGTCATTATCAGGGATGGGTTTCCCCTGGGTTTGCCTATAACCTCTGTTTTTTTTTCTCGAACTCGAAAGGTAATGCTAATGAATGTCAAACAATAACAATATAATTGTGCTTTTCAGTAAAGAAAACATCAACATCAGCGTTAACTGTACGCTTTTTCTTAAGATCAATGACCTGCTTTTGTAAAACTCATTAATAATTGCTACCATGGACAAAGGTTTGTATAGTGTTCCCAATAGCTTTAAAATTGGGTTTAAATTTCTGGAACTTTTTGTTTGTCCTGAGAACTAATCAAGCTTTAGATAGTGCCACTCAGCAGGAACGCGCGGAGCCTGCAATCTGTCAGTTAATAGTAGAGAGAAGGGAAAGGAAAGAAAGGACAAACCAAGGGCAAAGGACGAGGATTAAGAAGAGACAGGGAACGAAAGGAATTCGAAGAGCCTGAAACCGTTTTTGTCCCAGAGAGCCTCCTGTCCCTCTTAGTAGGGGTGGGCTGCCAGGCCTGGGCGTTGTTTGCGATCAAATGAAAGACTCTTCTTCGTGTTTATATTACACCCCACCATGCATGCAATATTTGTAGGAGAGGATGCAACAAAAGTTAATGAAATATCATTATGATAAGGAACAGCTGCCCAACTCAGTAGCCACACGATAGCGATTCTTTTTTTTGTTTTATAATCATGAATTTTTAAGAGGATAAGGAAAACTAGTGAATATCTCCTTGGAAATCTCTCCGGCCCTCTCAGTCTCTCTCTCTTTTTCTGCCTTGCAAGCCATTCCACAAAGCAAGAAGAGAGTTGTAACAGGTGCGCATATAGAAATTTATCTAACCCATTTTGTAGCTTTATTTCAAGATGACAAAGAAGGAGTTAGTGTTGTTTATTTCAAACACTCCTTTTCCGGCATCATTTTTGTTCCTCTTGATGACACTGGTGTTTTTCGCAAACTTGGACAAAGCAAAGACATTAGACGCTCACCTGCGCGAAGCAAGGATTTTCAAAACTCTGGAAGGTAAGAAATGAATTAACCTTAATTGATAGAAGAAGAGATGATTGATCTGAGCGCAAACCCAACGTTTGAGAAACGTTTGAGAAATATGTCTTGGCATATGTACACAGTAATTTTTAAGGAGTTATAATAACTCCTTTAGTGGGGCGTTAATTTAACTCCTTACCGTCCAGTTATTTTTTGGGGAGTTATTTTAACCCCAAAAAGGAGTTTAAAGAACTCTTTTTCAGGAGTAAAAGTGACGCCAGTTATTGAGGAGTTAAAATAACCCCAAAAAGGAGTTATCCTGTACCTAAACTTTTTACTCCACTTTCAGCGTTAAATTAACTCCAAAAAGGAGTAAAAACAACCCATGTAAGGAGTAAAAATAACCCCATTTCGGACTCATTTTAACTCCAGACTGGAAGTAATAAGAACTCTTTTTCAGGAGTAAGAATAACCCCAAATTCGGAGCTAAATTAGGAGTTAAAGGACTGTACCTAAAATTTTTACTCCATTTTTGGAGTTATAATAACTCCCTAAAAATTACGGTGTACACATTTTTACTTCTATCTATGTAAGTCCGTTGACCTTCTCGGTGTCATTACTTCAATCTATGTCTTGGCACTATTTCTACACTATTAATTATATCCCCGTTTTTGCATAGTGTATTGTAATTTCTTTCCCTGCCTTCCACATAATGCATCCTGATTACTTCTATCCTTGCCTTGCCGAAAAAACTATTCTATTAGAACTATTTTTCTATATTCCAACAAGTGCCTCGGTGACGGCAAGCAAGGGGAATTTAATGGGGAATAATTTCTTATTCTATCACAGTCAGTGATCATGTGAAAGCAAAGGAAATATATAAGATGTGTTCTGTTTGGAACTTTCAGGCTTTAAACTCGTTGGACACATATTGGAAACTTTGGCTGTTGACGAATATATCTGCGGACAACGATGCCTCAGAAATGAAAAATGCCTGTCCTACAACAGCCGTTCTGATGATGACCATGACAACAACAAATGTGAACTTAGTGATCAAAACAGACCGGATAAGCTTATTCGCAGCCCAGGGTTCACCTATCATATCAAAGGTAAAAATATATAAAAAATTCTACAATGGATTCTACTAAGGCAAATAATTAGCCACAAGTCCTATTTGAGAAAGGTTGTCGGAAAAAGTGCACGCAACAATTCCGAAAGGTATTAAGGGTGGTTTTGAATTCACTGTTCTTCAAAGAAATTTGAAAGAATGGCACGAGAGATCATGGACGTATGTTTGTCAGTGCCAGATGAAAGGAAAGCAACAAAAATAGGTTCGACAGCTGAAGTGTCAGGAACAGTGTATTAATAATATCCCATATTACCATTCGGGATTGTCGTGTGCACATTTTTTCCGACAACCTTTCTCGAAATCACTGTATATGTTTCGATAAGTGAACAAATTAACTTGAAATATAGACTACACCGCCTGGGTACAAGTCCTCACAGTGTGCGTTCTTTACCCCGGCCCCTTTCAAATTGATGAGGAAGAATGAAAGAGGCAACGTCAACGTCTTTATTCGCAGCTAGTGCCCGACCCAAATGATACAAATTTGACGGTTGATTCAGACATCAAACTTTTAAGATGTCGGACTCAATTCATTTTCACGATGTACAATGGTTTGCAATCATCTCACCAGTGAAAATAAATTATAGTAATTTGTGTATTAGGTTCGGTACTGATGATAAGTTCGACGTAAACGAAGTCGCTCCACGGTCAGAATTACCAAGTGAGCCACTCGATCTCAATTCATGGGTTGACCCAAATTAAAAATTTCGGACTCAGCTGATTCAAACGCCGATCTCCTCGCCATGTACTTAAATTAACTGAAGGGATTAGATTGGATGATATGAAAAGTTCGTCAAATCGTACTAATTGTAATTTTTCACGTACAAGAAAGCAGCAGATATGGTGCATTGTTGTGCATTTTTTCAACCTACAGTTGGAAAAGGCTGGTATTCCTCGTATCCTGGTCATTCCTGCAAAGACATCTATGACTCTGGCGACGCACGAGGTGACGGAGAATACTGGATTGACCCTGAGAAAAATGGAAATCCTTTAAAAGTCTTTTGTGACATGACCAGAGCAGGTGGTGAGTATTAGTGTTCTATAGCTATCACTGAAAGGACTTACACCCTCAGATCAGGCTATAAGATGGATTACCGGGGGCCCGGTCATCCAGATCCTGACATAAGGAGGGGGCCCGGTCTCAAAAAAAAAAAATTGTTTGGCCCATCGGGTATCATTTTCGTCTAAAAGTAAGGGGGGGCCACTGCGTTGTTATTAAGTCGAGGAAATTTCGTCACCACAAACATGTCTGTTCGGTGTGACATGACTAAAGTATTTTCAGCTGGAGAAAGAAATTGCCCTTATGCGTTATGATACCCCGAAACCTCCAGATAACATAGACCTGTAATAAATTCATCATCAAACCAGAATAGAATATTCACTTAACATCAAAATAAATTTTTAATGACACGGCTTGCCAGGGATTCCGTACAACTTGGCGCTGATGGTAAAAATTGCCTAACTTAACGTTAAGTTTCAGTCTGTTTTGAGTGTTATTATAAATATTTTAGTCTGAAATGTCTTACTTCTCCATCCTCCTCGACCACCACGGGTTAGCGGGTAGAGACCCCCTACTGCATTTCCGGCTATTAAGATTTTTTCAAGCCAAAGAAATACGAAAGACTTTCATAACGTTGTTATTTAAATTAGTGCATATACGTTTTTAAGCATAAATCGAAGGCAGGAAGCTCTCAAGGACTCTTTTGCTTTCTAGCCTAGGTGACAGGCGTTTGGCAGTAATGAAGGGGGAAGAGGGAGACCGTATTTCCTTTGTCCCTCGATTAATCGCCTCCCTCGAATAATAACCTCCCCTCCACCCCTCTCGCCATCTTCTCGTTCTTCTATCCCCTGCCTGTCAAGTTGAAGTGGAATCTGATCAAGTCATCAAAAAATGTTCAGTTTATTTGGTGTGATAATTTTTTGATTTAATGGCATAATTAAACAAAATATTTAAGGCACGACTTCCAGTAAGCAATATTTGACTTGAAATAATCGCCTCCCTCGTATAATCGCCTTTCTACGAATAATCGCCCCCTTTTGATGCGAAAATAAAATAATCGCTCCCGGCTATTATTCGAGGAAATACGGTTTTCTCGGGCACCTATTGCGGTCAACGTTTCCCTGTCAGGAAACACTGTGAGGAGGAGCGTTGTTTAACAACTCAAAAACGAACGGCTGCCTTGGAGACTGCAATCCCGGTCATAATTTGTTAAAACACTTCCGGAAAACATAACATCTACTTAGTCGTTTCAGGAATACACGTACTACTTCCCTCCCCTTCCCGCAATGTTGGTTTCACGCGTTTTCTTGGGCATAAACGTCTTCGAAATCAACATTGAAGGGGAAGGGGACGAACAATTAGCAAGCGTTTCAGCAGTAATGACCGGGAATGTAGCTTTATCCTCTCTTCTCCCTACCATGTCCTTTCCTGTCCAGATATTTTCTCCTGCCTCTTGATCCAGTCCCCATACTTATTTACTGTTTAATAAAAATTTCAGGAGGTTGGCTTCTTGTTCTCAACATCGTGATTAAGCAGATTAAGGACCAGGATGACCTCCCTCAGTTGTTACTCGAGACGTCATACCGCAAAGTGGACAGCTACAAAAGCAACAATTTAGTTCTAAAGAACAGCGCCCTGAATGACCTGAAAACCCTCATGCCCTTCACTCAAATGCGGTTCCACTGCAGAAAGCCAGGTGGATCAACATTTCATATAGTCACGACCGGAAACAGCACTGGTGAAGCTGTTGTTCAGTACTTTACAGGGCAAACAAACACCATGCCAGACTCCTGTGGATCGTACATTAAACTGTGGGATGACAATTCAAAGCTTGCAAACCGATGTGCCGACTGGGGGAGTGAGAACGGCAATTACACTGTGGGTAAATGGGGGCATGAAGGCATGAGTGAATTGTATGATCACCCTGCATTTACTGTACTTGCATATCATTGGGTCACTTTTGACAGATGGGAATGTGATGACTATAAACCGAGTTCATCATATCTACCACCTAACGAAACCTTTTGGAAGATTTTTGTGCGTTAAAGGCATCAGTTAACAGAGTGGAATGGTTATGACTCCCGGTTGACTGCTCTGTTATATGTTGTTGTGTTGACTTCAAACCACCATAGTTAGTAGAGGAGGCTGGTAATGAAAGCCGGCAAACATCAAAGATGTAAAACAACGGTGCTGTAGTTTATGTTGGAAGCTCCCTGACCGTGCACAATCCTTTTGTTCACAAATTGCATTATTGTAACTAAATAAATTAATGCGATGTTTCTATTGGTCAATAAGTTCAAAATGATAGAAATGCGATTGAAAGTTGTGCACTGTCGGGTCCAAAAAAGCTAACAAAAACGTATAACAAAGGAGTCAAACGGGTTTCATAACCATTCCACTAATATAACTATTAAACAGCAATATCGTCTTTACATAACCCCTCTAACTGTGCACAACGTTTTATTTCAGTCCTATCTTATATTTTTCGTGACAGTTTATAAAACAACCAAACAAACAAAGGATTGTGCACCGTCAGGGAAATCCAGAAAAAAAAACAACAACACAAAAACATCAACTACAGCATTGTTGTTTTTATCTTTGATGTTTGCCGCTTTTCATAAGCAGTCTCCTCGAATAACTATGTTATTCATTTTACTGAATGAAACGAAGTCACTCCTTAACGCGAAAAAATTCTGCGAACTGCTATTTTGGATCATGTCGTGACATCAAAATTATTTCTTTCTATTATTTTTTCCCGACTACATGATCAAACATTGTATCAGTGTCATGTAAGACAGCAGGAGGTGGCTAAAGGATCCAACATTTGTTTGTGATGTAAAATGTTGAATGAAACTGTAATTGATCTAGATCAAATGTCGAAAGTAATTCTACCCCGACATATCTCTGTGGAGATACGCAAAGGTAGGAAAGAAAGGCGGAAAGGAGAAAACGGACTTCGTCTCTCATTTTTGTCCTTCCCATGTTCCCTTGCGTTTCGTCACCAGTCATCATCACGTGTCACTCGCGTTTCGCGCTCGCCTCTGTGCGAAAAACTAAGCGTCTGAGGAGAAGGCAACGGTTAAACGGTAAAGCGCACTCTTCCAAAGTGATGTTGGACGAACATGTTTGATCGTTTAGCCTTGACTTGACGACGGAAAGCACGAGTGTCTGGAATTTGTTCAGGCGTTGAATTTGAATTTGAATTTGTTCTGTGCGAAAAACGAAACGTCTGAGGAGAAGGCAACGGTTAAATCGGTAAAGCGCACTCTTCCAAAGCCATGTTGGACGAACATGTTTGATCGTTTAGCCGTGGCTTGACGACGAAAAGCACAAGTGGTTGGAATTTGTTCAGGCGTTGTTGCCACTTTACATTGCTCTCCTACTCTTGATTCATGAAAATTAGAAACTTTCCGGCGGCTTCACCGCGAGAACCCTGGGAATGAGATCGCAGTGACTCGAGCTTTCCATCATTTG